AAAAGTGATCTGTATCTGGATACAAATGGTGATCTGTACCCTGGTCAGCGTTCGAAATACCTGCCTGCCCGACAGCCCAGGACTCGTTATTTTCAACACGGACTGCCAGAGATTCACCTGCCGGAGGGTCGGGTTAAACTTTAGATATGTATATGAAGATATTTTGTGGGCAGGTACGTTTTGGTCAAGGCTGGCAAATTTTACCAGCCTGTGGTCTTGCTGAAATTTTGGGGAGTTTCATACCCTCACCCTGGTACAAAAAAAAGTGATCTGTATCTGGATACAAATGGTGATCTGTACCCTGGTCAGCATTCGAAATACCTGCCTGCCCGACCGCCCAGGACTCGTTATTTTCAACACGGACTGCCAGAGATTCACCTGCCGGAGGGTTGGGTTAAAGTTTAGATATGTATATGAAGATATTTTGTGGGCAGGTACAGATCTGTATTTGGTTACAAATGGTGACCTGTGCCCTGGTACAAAAAAGTTACCTGTATCTTGATGCAAATGTTGATCTGTATGGTGATACAAACAATTGGTTAGGTCTACCCTGGTACAAAAAAGGAATCTGTATCAATGGGGAAACAAATGGTGAGATATATCCTGGTACAAGGTACTCAAAGACCTGGCACAGTTCCATGGTCAGAATGTGTATAGGTACATGGTATACATGGGGTGGTATAGGTTCATGGTAAAAATGAGGTGGTATAGGTATGTGATATAAATGAGGTGGTATAGGTATGTGATATAAATGAGGTATCAGTACATGGTATAAATGAGGTGGTACAGGTACATGGTATAAATGAGGAGTATGTATGTGATATAAATTATGTATCAGTACATGGTATAAATGAGGTGTATAGGTACATGGTATAAATGAGGTGGTATAGGTACATGGTATAAATGAGGTGTATAGGTATGTGATATAAATGGGGTGATATAAGTACATGGTATAAATGAGGTGGTATAGGTATGTGATATAAATGGGGGGATATAGGTACATAATATAAATGAGGAGTATGTATGTGATATAGATGATGTATCAGTACATGGTATAAATGAGGTGGTATAGGTACATGGTATAAACAAGGAGGTATATGTACATGGTATAAATGAGGTGGTATCAGGTACATGGTATAAATGAGGTGGTATAGGTACATGGTATAAATGAGGTGGTATAGGTACATGGTATAAATGAGGTGTATAGATACATAGTATAAATGAGGTGTATAGGTATGTGATATAGGTACATGGTATAGGTATGTGATATAGGTACATGGTATAAATGAGATGGTATAGCCAAAGAAAGAATTGTAACACAGTTGTTTGATGTAATATAAATATATATTTCAAGAACATAGTACTCAATTAAAAGGAATACAATATTGTACCATATACAAAAATACTTAAATTCTGTACAATATTCAATCAAACTTTTATCACACAAAAGTATTGACATAATACGTCAAGTAAAATGGCAGTGATCTATTAGTTTTGACTATACTTGACAGGACAATCTAGTTCATATTTGTGCTGCAAACACCTGTTGATTACAATCAATGAGGAAAATCAGCGTTCTCTGTGGCTTATTGCACTATGGTCTGTCTCACACTCCCTGAACCACATGATTTTCCCTACTGCCTAGCCCTCCCTGCAATGCTAAAACCCTAAATGAAGCAAGTCCAGGTTTCCCTGAATCTCCAAACTTACTGGGGCTTCTTTTCAATTTAAATGGGTTTATTTGTTACTGTCAATATTAGATATATTCAGAGACTAAATAGTTTCCCTACTACCACTAGCTTCCTGCTTAATTGTTTCACTGATCTGGTGACAGCACTCAGACCTTTTCATTGAACTGAACATAATGACAGTCCGCTAATACTTGTCATGTTTTTAGATGACCCTCTCCATCTCTTGGTACATTTGTTTAGACAAAATGTAAAATAACTCAGTAGAAATGTTATTATAAAAATTCATCTTCACCCTCCCAAAATATGTGTATTTTTTTATGCTTGAGACTGTCATATATCTTGGTGTGGGGGTTGACAGACTAAACCAAATTAGTATGTCTTATTTCTCGGACAACAACCCCACCTTTTCCTCCCATCCCTGGGACTTCACTCTTTAACAATTCTCAGTTTCTGAAAATTATTCTGAGGAGCTGTTGTACTAAAAACATAAATAAGATGTCCCCATTCTTTCATCTAACAACAGTTCCGTCATGCTGTTATAGACTAAGTTTAGTTATACGAAAGAATTCAGTGTTCTCTGACGTATTTTGAGATGTATATGTTTCTCCATAAGGCCAGACCAATTTTATTTCTTGTTTTACGAATTTTTGTCCTCAGAAAACCTAAAGGCAGGAGGGGAAAAAAAAAAAATAAAATGACCAGTCAAAGTAATATTCCTTCTAAATACTAAAAGTATTTTACTTTTAGGAATTTATGAAGTGTATACGTGACAAAAAACATTCTAAAAGCAGTTTTCTTGTAAGTTTACATTTTTCGCCAATAAAAATATTAGGATTTTATTTTTTGAGCGGGGAAAATTAATTTTTATTTTTGTTCTTATTCTTGAAAAAATACAACCGTCGGATCCGTAAAACAAGAAATAAATTTGGTCTGGCCTAATGAAAGAAACTAGACAATGAACAAATTGTAAATGGACATCAAGTAAAGCTGGCCAAGACATGCAACCAGGGGTACTGCTAGATTTATCTACTTCCAGTTTGTTCCAAGAGTCTAAAATACCTCACCTGGTTACCTAGGTAACCAATCCCAGCCCTTATTTACACCCTCACCTCATTATGCACATGACTATCACTTCCACTTCTTGTATACACTTTCCTGGGCCTGTCACTGAGCTCATGTTTGAGTGAGTGAGTTTAGTTTAACGCCGCACTCAGCATTATTCCAGCTATATGGCGGGGTCTGTAAATAATTGAGTCTGGATCAGACAATCCAGTGATCAACAGCATGAGCATTGATCTACGCAATCGGGATACGATGACATGTGTCAACCAAGTCAGCGAGTCTGACCACCCGATCCCTTTAGTCGCCTCTTACGACAAGCATGGGTTACTGAAGACCAATTCTAACCCAGATCTTCACAGGTCTCCTGCAGTGGGATCATGGAAGTGAACTGTGTACAAATCTTGTATGCTAGTGTATGCTTGATATCTCTTGATTACATTCAACCATTGATTCAACCATCTTACAATGCATAACAAATTCAGATTCTTACCCGAATCAACAGAACAGTGTTTAATACTAACCAAAATTTGTCATCAGTCAAACAGGATATTGTCCTAATGTAAAAATAATTAATATTTCAACATCCCAAATCTACAGCCGTAATGTTTACCAAATCATGATCAACTTAAATAAATTCAGGTTATCTTTGAGAGGGTGAGCGAGTAATGCTGCTTTATGACATTATTTCAGTTATATCACTCCCTAATGGTGTATAAAAGACGAACATGATGTAGGTCTCCGAAGCTCGAGACAAATAATCAATAGCTCCAATAATAACACTGGACAGGGAGACCTCCACTGCTTCACTGCAATGGCCCTTGAGTGTTTCATTAACTGGGGTCATCAGACCAACACGTAAATCAAGCTTTGAACAACATGAATTCTTTGGTATGAAACAGATTTAGAACTACTCATAACCTAATAAAAGAACTGGGATTTCTCGGTTAAGAGGAATCGAAACAATTCATGCCTAATTAGCCCATTTCTGGTGTCCACTGCTGTGATATTGCTGGAGTAATACTAAAAGCTGCATAGAACCATACACGCTTACTTACTCATGCCTAATTATTTGAAACATACTTTGGTCAATGAAATACAAGTAATTGTATGAATATGATGTGAAGACATCTAGGTAAAACAAATTCTAGATGAGAAGTACAATGTATAAGTATTATTTATCCCATCTCCATGTCAGAATACTGAGATCTGATTGGTTCATGTGATCTTGATAAAACACTACCTATCCCATCCAGGGGTTAAAAAATCCCATCGCCCGACGCCCGGGACAAGTCAGTTTTCATTTCGGGCAATCAAGTAATGGTATCTTACTTGTCCGTGGGCTACTAGATAATTTCCACTTATGGTTTCAAACTGCAAATAGATTAGGATTTAATTTCATATCACTGACTAACTGACTGAGTTTGGTTTTACGCTGCTTTTAGCAATATTCCAGCAACATCACGGCTGGGGACACCAGAAATGGGCTTCAAATTTCATATCAAAATGTAGCTACTAAATTTTGCAATGATAATAAAGTAGAGTTATCTTTCTTTGCTATTTATCACTTTTCAATAAATAGTCCAGTAAACATTAACATCAAATACCATGTTGATTTATTCTTTCATAATTACACCATCATGATTATAAAATCATAAAATCAGGGCAAGTGGAAAATTAGTCAGGACAAGTTACTTTCTTAAAGTCACTTGCCCTGTGGCAAGTGGCTTTTTAAACAAATTTTGAACCCCTGCCATCTGGGATGGAAATACAATTCTGTTTGGGATGATACAACCCTTATACACCATTGGAAAGTAACCAGGCTGCACATATGGATGTGTGAGTGCAATAATAAAAATCTTGCACTACACTATAAGGCAAATACCTGCATGTTGTCCATGAAAGTCAGGTGACAACAAAAGTTGATCTCAGCCCGATCAAATTTTCTGTTTAAATTTTTGACAATGGAAAACTGAAACATATCGGCAAGATAAATATATTGTTTGCTTGCAGCTCATGCAAATAGTAGTTTAAAGGATCAAAATTATTAGTTTGACCATAAAATTAGTATTCAACAAAATACTTAAAATCATGATTGATTCTGAGAAAGATAATATGACATTAATCGAGTGAAGCTTTAATTTCATATACCTCCAACAGCAGATTTCCACATTATCAGCTTCACATTTCTTCTTGTCTCTTTTTGGCGAAAATGCATTTAATCGACCAAAATATATGCTTTTATCTACATATATCAAAATTTTAATGAATTTTCTTCCAATTTCGTAGAATTTCTAGTGCAATCATCTTGGCGTAGTTTGGGGCTAAAATTTGTAGCGACTACGTTAAAATCATAGAGGTCAGCATCTCTGAGGGATGCTCCAAACAACATCCATTAGTCATGACATGGCTACAACTTATAACAGATCTTATCCTCCATTATATGGTCAGCGAGTATGTCTTGAAAGATGAAACATTACATCAACAATGTTTCCGCTATTTGTGCTGAGTGTGAAAAGCAATAGAGCAAGGACCTATTCAGGCCGGTTCATGCTAAAGTTTTCAGCAAGTTGATAAAGTTCACTGCTAACAGTCTGCTGTGAGTAATTGTTGACAAACACATCACAGAGTTAGCGAGCTGAGAGATGATCGGACAGGTGTCACTGCCAGCTGTTCATTTGATGGCTTCTTACATTTCGGTGGTGACATCAACTCTGCTGTGTTATCATTTTGTGCCCGCTTGAAAGTTTTCGTCTCTCTTCCAGATGTAGAAGGTTGGGGTCCAAAGGGAGACTACTCCCAGGCAACTTGTTTGGTGTGACATTGCCTGGCTCTAATGGTACATCAGTACTGTAGGCTATATCTGACTGGTCAAGACTGAGGCCAAACGAGTCATTAACCTGGCCAATCCAACTGTCATCACTATCAAACAGGGGCTTCTCCCCATCCGACAGACTTAGTTGATTGTCTCCCTTGGCTGTCACCTTCTGATGGCCTTGTAGGCTGTCTGCAATCTTCTTAACACATACCTGAAAGAAATCATTGCGGAAGTTTATAGTCAGTCTGTGATGGATTGCACACACAAGACTACAGTACATCTGTGATGGATTGCACACACAAGTCAGTCTGTGATGGATTCCACACACAAGTCAGTCTGTGATGGATTGAACACACAAGACTACAGTACATCTGTGATGGATTGCACAGACAAGACTACAGTACATCTGTGATGGATTGCACACACAAGTCAGTCTGTGATGGATTGCACACACAAGTCAGTCTGTGTTGGATTGCACACACAAGTCAGTCTGTGTTGGATTGCACACACAAGTCAGTCTGTGATGGATTGCACACACAAGTCAGTCTGTGATGGATTGCACACACAAGTCAGTCTGTGATGGATTGCACACACAAGACTACAGTACATCTGTGATGGATTGCACACACAAGACTACAGTACATCTGTGATGGATTGCACACACAAGACTACAGTACATCTGTGATGGATTGCACACACAAGTCAGTCTGTGATGGATTGCACACACAAGTCAGTCTGTGATGGATTGCACACATAAGACTACAGTACATCTGTGATGGATTGCACACACAAGTCAGTCTGTGATGGATTGCACACACAAGTCAGTCTGTGATGGATTGCACACACAAGACTACAGTACATCTGTGATGGATTGCACACACAAGACTACAGTACATCTATGATCGATTGCACAAACAAGTCAGTCTGTGATGGATTGCACACACAAGTCAGTCTGTGATGGATTGCACACACAAGACTGCAGTACATCTGTGATGGATTGCACACACAAGTCAGTCTGTGATGGATTGCACACACAAGTCAGTCTGTGATGGATTGCACACACAAGTCAGTCTGTGATGGATTGCACACACAAGTCAGTCTACAGTCAGTCTGCGATGGATTGCACACACAAGTCAGTCTTCAGTCAGACTGTGATGGATTGCACACACAAGTCAGTCTACAGTCAGACTGTGATGGATTGCACACACAAGTCAGTCTGTGATGGATTGGATTCAGTCTGTGTTGGATTGCACACAAGTCAGTCTGTGATGGATTGCACACACAAGTCAGTCTGTGATGGATTGCACACACAAGTCAGTCTGATGGATTGCTCACACAAGTCAGTCTGTGATGGATTGCACACACAAGTCAGTCTGTGTTGGATTGCACACACAAGTCAGTCTGTGTTGGATTGCACACACAAGTCAGTCTGTGATGGATTGCACACACAAGTCAGTCTGTGATGGATTGCACACACAAGTCAGTCTGATGGATTGCCAGTCAGTCTGTGATGGATTGCACACACAAGTCAGTCTGTGATGGATTGCACACAAGTCATACTGTGATGGATTGCACACACAAGTCATGGATTGCACACAAGTCATACAGCCAGTCACTGTGATGGATTGCACACATAAGTCAGTCTGTGTGATGATTGCACATAAGTCATACTGTGATGGATTGCACACACAAGTCAGTCTACAATCCAAGTCAGTCTACACATAAGTCAGACTGTGATGGATTGCACACACAAGCCACTCTTGTGGAGATGAACCCAATATACAGACTCCACTGAAGAATGAAATATGTTAATATAAATGCCCCACCAGTAAAACATTGTGTACAGTAACCTACCTGAAAACACTATAAACATAACTACCGATACACACTTTGTAAATGACCTTCCTCTAAATGTCCTTCCAGTAAACACTGTGCATATGGCCTATAGGTACATGATCTTCATGTACCACCTACCTGTAAACACTGTAAATGACCTTCCTCTAAATCTCCTTCCAGTAAACACTGTGCATATGGCCTATAGGTACATGATCTTCATGTACCACCTACCTGTAAACACTGTAAATGACCTTCCTCTAAATCTCCTTCCAGTAAACACTGTGCATATGGCCTATAGGTACATGATCTTCATGTACCACCTACCTGTAAACACTGTAAATGACCTTCCTCTAAATGTCCTTCCAGTAAACACTGTGCATATGGCCTATAGGTACATGATCTTCATGCACCACCTACCTGTAAACACTGTGCATATGGCCTATAGGTACATGATCTTCATGTACCACCTACCTGTAAACACTGTAAATGACCTTCCTCTAAATGTCCTTCCAGTAAACACTGTGCATATGGCCTATAGGTACATGATCTTCATGCACCACCTACCTGTAAACACTGTGCATATTGCCTATAGGTACATCTTCATGCACCAACCTGTAAACCACCTACCCTAAATGTCCTTCCAGTAAACACTGTGCATATGGCCTATAGGTACATGATCTTCATGTACCACCTACCTGTAAACACTGTGCATATGGCCTATAGGTACATGATCTTCATGCACCACCTACCTGTAAACACTGTAAATGACCTTCCTCTAAATGTCCTTCCAGTAAACACTGTGCATATGGCCTATAGGTACATGATCTTCATGCACCACCTACCTGTAAACACTGTAAATGACCTTCCTCTAAATGTCCTTCCAGTAAACACTGTGCATATGGCCTATAGGTACATGATCTTCATGCACCACCTACCTGTAAACACTGTAAATGACCTTCCTCTAAATGTCCTTCCAGTAAACACTGTGCATATGGCCTATAGGTACATGATCTTCATGCACCACCTACCTGTAAACACTGTAAATGACCTTCCTCTAAATGTCCTTCCAGTAAACACTGTGCATATGGCCTATAGGTACATGATCTTCATGCACCACCTACCTGTAAACACTGTAAATGACCTTCCTCTAAATGTCCTTCCAGTAAACACTGTGCATATGGCCTATAGGTACATGATCTTCATGCACCACCTACCTGTAAACACTGTAAATGACCTTCCTCTAAATGTCCTTCCAGTAAACACTGTGCATATGGCCTATAGGTACATGATCTTCATGTACATATGGCCTACCTTCATGTACCAAACACTGTAAATGACCTTCCTCTAAATGTCCTTCCAGTAAACACTGTGCATATGGCCTATAGGTACATGATCTTCATGTACCACCTACCTGTAAACACTGTAAATGACAGACCTTTAGTGAATGTCCTAACTGTACAGTCAATGACCTACCTGGACTATTTTCTCCCGAGGTCGGAGGTGGTCCTGCAGCTTCACCTTGAGAGTGGTCTTCCTGGGGAACACCTTGCGTGTGATGATTGTGTTGAGTGTCGCACGCCTTCCCACTACGTACACAGAATGACGTCCCCTCGTGATGGCTGTGTACACATGCTGCCAGTTCTCATAGAAATTATTCGGGCTCAGGATGTACACAACTGAATTAGATTCAGAACCCTAGAAAAAAACAATCATTAACACATACATTTCTTGATGCTTAATGGCTTTCCCCTTCAACAATAGTAATATACTGAGGGAAATGAAAAAGGAACGCTTAATTGTTAAGTTGAAAAGGCAGTGTTGTTCCAAATGTTTAAGGAACAATTTAACCATAACGGATTGAAAACATTGCCCCCAAACTCATCCTCAGGGGGCATTTTTCACGTACAGTTTAAGCACGAGGACTATAAAAACATGGGAACAATTTTTAACACAACAGAGCCACGAATTCGCAAGACACTCAAAACCTTAAAATCATGCCACGCCGATATCTTTCTGAACATGAGAAATGGCAGGCAGTCTGGAGCATCAACGATGGGACATCAATTTGTCAGACAGCAAGAGACTTTAAAAAAAAGTAAAAAAGTGTTAGATCGCGACTGTGGAACTTATACCGCCAGACAGGCGACATTAAGATAAGACGTGGTCATGGTCCCAATAAAAAACGTCAGCACGTGAAGATCGTAATTTACTGTTGATTTCCTTGTGAAACTGGTTCAAATCAGCTTTGAACATAAACACTGAGTTCAGAGCAATAACACAGTTACGAATAAGCAATAACTCAGTTCAAAATCAACTCAAATCAGCAGGCGTAAAATCAAGTCGCCCAGTTGTGGGAATTCACCTTTCTGCAAAACACAGACGTCAGAAAAGACACTGGGCTAGGCAGCATCGTGTGAGACATTTGCGACATTGGCGCTATACCATATTCAAAAATGAGTCCTGCTTCAATTTGGACTTTGCAGATGGGCGTATCTGTGTGTGGCGACGTCTCCATGAATGTCATCACCCATGTACTGTAAAACAGCATGATCGATATGGAGGTAGATCAGTGATGGTGTGGGGTGGGATCACCTACGATCGGAGAACTGATCTAGTGCGATTAGATGGAAGGATAACAGGTGTGTGTTACAGAGATGAAGTGCTGCAGCCAGTAGTTGTTCCCTTCAGGATAGAACAGGTGGGAATTTCGAGTTCCACATACTGTTCCCATATGCAGGGATTTCCTGGCGCAAAACAACATCAGAGTTCTACCATGGCCATCGAAAAGTCCAGATCTAAACCCCATTGAACACCTTTGGGACGTTCTTGGACATCATGTCAGATCCCGCCCTGTACAGCCACAGACAAGTGGCGGTATGTTCCAAGTTCTCCAAGAGGAGTGGCAGGCTATTCTCCGGGCTGTAATCCAGTACTTAATCCAAAGTGTCCCACGTCGATGTTAAGAAGTGATCCGGAGGCATGGGGGACACACCAGATACAGACATTTTAATTGTAGTGTGCGTGACCTTTTAACATTACTCTCACAAAGTCCACTGTCAATAAAACATTTTTTTCTATATACTCATGCGTTCCCTTATTCATTTCCCTCAGTATATATACGGTAGTCAGTCTTTGAACAGTATTTCCCTTGTACCATGACATATATATTACAGGAGTGAGTGAATGAGTTGGATTTACGCTGCTTTCTGCAATTTGTGTACGGCTGCTTGTACTAGTGAGTGAGTTGGATTTTACGCCGCTTTCTGCCATTTTTGTACGGCTGCTTGTACTAGTGAGTGAGAGAGTGAGTGAGTGAGTGAGTGAGATGGATTTTACACCGCTTTCTGCCATTTGTGTACGGCTGCTTGTACTAGTGAGTGAGTGAGTGAGTGAGTTGGATTTTACGCCGCTTTCTGCCTTTTGTGTACAGCTGCTTGTACTAGTCTGGCCTGATGCTGGTTTATAGTCCAATGGAATACCATGTTGCATTTTCACATGGATACCACACTCAGACCCCCACAAGTTCTTGTTTTATCCCCTTTAAGCTGAGCACCAAATGGGGTTAACAACAAGTACCATCTTTAAATGTCTTGTTATGATGAGGCCAAGGACCAAACCCTGACCTGCTCTCCAGGCTGACACTCTATCCACTGGACCACAGTTGACTTAACACACTATTTCACACCACACTTCTCTAAAAATAACTAATGCATTTCTCTCAATAATACTAACTATCAGCCTCTCCGTGAAGCTACCATATAATTTATTAAAAAAAGTTACGTATTAGATTACAATATTAAATTAAAAAGTTTGAATGAATTAATGCCACGTTGCATTAAATCGACCTTTGCGCCCTATACTGGCCGAACATTAGTTCAAACGAACCACAAACAGTTATGTCCCTTGGAGAGCTCTTTACGAATATCCTATAACTCCTTTGGAGACAGAACTCAGTCCTAGACAAAAAGACGCTCATGTCAGGTTGCAAAATCATACATGCAACTTGTGATTGAAATCAGTTCGGCAAATACTGACAACACTGTGTGCGACAGTTTTCAATGTACGGAGCAATTGTTTACATTCCATATATGGCATGTGTTCTCTGGAAGCTGTTCACCTCAACGTTTCAATTATCGATTTCAGGCAAGTCGTTAGGGATGATAAGTCTTTTATTGCATGAATAGGAAGCTAAAGTGACAGCAAATGCCCCAATATATATAATATAGGCCAAAATATTGTTGAAAATGTGTGAAATTGTGACTTTAATCCAGGGCCCCGTTACACAAAGCTCTCGTAAGCCTAAGATCTGAAACTTTTACTGTAACGTAGACTTACGATAGTCGTAGCTCTACGATAGCTGTGTGAAACGGGGCCCTGAACAGTAAGAGTGAGAGAGTTGGGTATGCCACTTTCCAGCAATTTTCATATCAAGACTATGCTATCTCATACTGTACATTTGAGAATAATACAACCCAGGCCTCCAAAATGGCCAAGTGAGGTTTTGTGCCACTTTTAGCAACATTACAGCAACATCATGGCAGGACACACCATGGGCATCATACATTGTACCCATGTGGGGAACTGAACCGGGGTCTTTAACGGTTTAACCAAAAGGCTACTCCACCGACTTGGTTATAACAAACAACTACTACCTGGAATATATGACAGTGTCATGAGACTTGGAGTGTGTTTTGAAGTGAAGAAAAGCTTATTACATGGAAAGTGTATCACTGTGACAAGGTGGTTACCTCGAATGTGTGTAAGTGTGATTGACTGTGTGCTTGCCAATTTCCTGTAAAGTGCCAATTTCCTGGAAAGTGTGTTGGATGTCAAAATATTTACCAGATATGTGTGAGTGTGACAAAATAATTGCCTGGAAAGTGTCAGTGTGACAAAATAATTACCCAAAAAGTGTCAGTGTGACAAAATAATTACCCAGAAAGTGTGTCAGTGTGTCAAAATAATTGCCTGGAAAGGGTGAGTGTGACAAAATAATTACCTGGAAAGTGTCAGTGTGGCAAAATAATTACCTGGTAAGGGTGAGTGTCACAAAATAATTACCCAGAAAGTGTCACTGTGACAAAATAATTACCCGGAAAGTGTCAGTGTGTCAAAAGTATTGCCTGGAAAGGGTGAGTGTGACAAAATAATTACCTGGAAAGTGTCAGTGGACCCAGAAAGTGTCAGTGTGGCAAAATAATTACCTGGAAAGGGTGAGTGTGGCAAAATAATTACCTGGAAAGTGTGAGTGTGACAAAATAATTACCTGGTAAGGGTGTGAGTGTGACAAAATAATTACCTGGAAAGGGTGAGTGTGACAAAATAATTACCTGGAATGTGTGAGTGTGACAAAATAATTACCTGGAAAGGGTGAGTGTGAGTGTGACAAAATAATTACCTGGTAAGGGTGAGTGTGACAAAATAATTACCTGGTAAGGGTGAGTGTGACAAAATAATTACCTGGAATGTGTGTATAGTCCTGACCCATGCATGCTTCATCTTACAGGTCTTCTTGAGCTGTTTGTAGTGAGCACACACACAACGTGGGTGTTCCTCGTCTCTGTCACAAAGGAATATGTAGCGACTTGCCTTGTTACGGTTGTCAAGGATTGACAGCTCCTTGAATGAATGTGCATCATAAGTCAAATTAGTCAAATGGGTTTTGTTTTAAGCATGGAAACTGACAGTTGTTAGTAGGCTTAGCAACAAATCACAGACAAGAAATGGAAATCAGTGCTGACCAGTAGGCATGAGGCTAGTAGAAATTAACTAAGGTTAATAAAATAAAAAATCTATTAATGTTTTGGTGTAAATCAACATTCTCGTTTCTGTCATATTTATTTCTGTGAATTTCTAAGATTAACTACCCTTTGGCTGGGAAAAAACACTAAAAATACCCACAAGCACGGTGGACTTGTTTGCTTTTCAGGTAACTTCCATCCCGATGAGAAGACACATTGTAATACTGATAACAACAACCTCTCGTAAGTTGACCCATGAAGAAGAATTGATTTTCACCGACCAATGCTTGTCATAAGAGGTGACTTATGCGATCTGGCGATCAGGCTTGCTGAGTAGGTTGACACATGTTTGCATAGATCGAAGCTCATGATTTTGATCACTGGATTGTCTGGTTCAGATTCAGTTATTTACATACCGCCAACATATAGCTGGAATATTGCTCAGTGTGGCGTTTAACAACAATCTCCTGAGCTGAAATGACCCATTTTCCAGGAGTGGGAGAAATACATTTCTTATTTTAGTTTGTGATCCTTTACCTTCTCAATGTAGAAGATCTCGCCATTGCAGAGTTTAACATCTCTCTTACAGATTGATCGCTCTGGAGTGCTGCCATCTATCTCTTGTTCTTCAAACTCAGGTGCTGTAACCTTCTGAGGTGGGACACAGACTGAGTTATCTGCCCCTGATTGTTGGATAGGGTCAGTGTTGTCTCCCCCTTGTTGAGCTTGCTGTTGTTGCTCAACACTACTGTCAGATCTATTCTGAGAAGATGTCACATTTTTATTACTGACATGATTTGCAACAGGCTTCTTGGCAGTCACATCTAGGGTTTTCCTTGTATTTCCATGAAATATTTCCAGAAAACCACTCACATCAGTCCTGAGCATACTTGACCTTCCAGGCTGAGTGCTGAGATCATCATCACTGAGAAATGCAGAATCTTCCAAGTGGCTGTTCCCCCTGCCTGCTGCATTGATGAGATCATCCAGTGCTTCCGTGTACGTCTGGGAGGCAGCAGACGTCTCGAGTTGGCTACTCTTCCAGAAGTCTCCTTCATCAAGGTCCTCAACATGGGTCTGGTCACGACTGTTTTCTCGATTTTTCAGAGCAGTGAATCTAGAACCTACTTCATTATCATCACAATTATCGTTTTCATTCAGTCTCTCCTTGTTTCTGTCACTGCATCCATCATGTCCATCATGGCATCCATCTTGGCTTGCAGTGATCTCATCAAGCTGCATGCTGAGGTTCCGTTTCACAGACGTCTGTTGTCCTCTCTTGACGTTGCTCGGCCCAGGACTTGCAGCACACCCTTGGGCCAGGTCAGCAGTCTCCTTTTCTGTCTTCTGCTCCTTTTTTACTAACTTGAAGTGGTGAGAGACTGTGCCATTTTTCGTCATACACACTTTATCGCCTGGTTGGAAGTCTAATTTTCCCTTGTATGTTTTCAGTGAATGTTTGTTGTAGTGTTTGCAGCACAGTTCATTCACTGCCTCGCAATCACGTCTGTGTCAAGAAGAAAATGAAGGTGGAGTATACAGCATAGTTATACTTTGAAATTTTACAATAAAATTATATTTTATCATGGAGTTTCAGATTGAAAAGATGATTTCTATATATATGACTTTGGGACATTTTATGGAGGGTTTAAGGAGGGTCTTTGAGTTTCTTTGAGTGGAATTTCAGAACTCTTAGGCTTTATCAGCTTACTGCCAAGCCAGTTATGTTAAGTATGTTGTTTCCTTTGTTACATTCAGTATATGTACATCCTCTCAACATTCCTGCTTGACAACAGTACAAGAATCTGTATTAGAATGTCATGAAATAACAGAAGTTGTTCTGCATAATGTTTGTATTTTGAGTTGGTTTTCACCCTCAAGACATTGAGAGCCATGTGAGTGAGTGAGTGAGTGAGTGAGTGAGTGAGTACCTGGTAAAGGCCACAAACTGGGAGGTGACAGGGCCCTGCAGATCTTCACTTCTGGTCAGCAGCCCCCGTACAATGGCGTCTCGACCTAGGCAGCAAAGTGGACATTGCAGTGTGCGAAATAGCCACTGGCCCGCTAGCCCGTGGCTAGTAAAAATCCATGTTTAAATTAGCAATGGCCTTGAAACAGCCCCACCTTCCAGTGAAATAATGACCTTTTTCGACTCTCCTAAAGAGAGTACTTACAAAGGGACGTAATCCGAAACCTCCGCATTTGACTTGCCTTGTGTAAGGATGTACATTGTATTTCATTATTAAATATGGTAACATATTATTAGCAAATACTGGAAAATAAAGATTTGTTCAGACATTCCTGACAATTTATCCTTCCCCCAAAATTGAAAATTTTAATATAAATTGAATATATATATACTTATCCTATCTCACGGTATGCACTTCTCTCTCTTGATTCGACACTGAGTGGAACGATGTAAACTTTTTTCCCTAGGCCTCTCTTGTCCATCTGCCCAAGCACTCCATGCTACCCTCATTATAAGCATACAGCATGCACCCCTAGCTCTCATGCACCACTAGCTGCCCACTAGCTGCTGTGACTATCTCCGAATTATCATTTTCATTCTTGGAGCCACTGGATAATATCCCTCTTGGAGAACCTGCTTGGAGGATGGGCGGGAATCCGTCGCGTGAGATAGGATAATTATATAAATATACAATTTATATTAAAATTTTCAATTTTTTAAACTTATCCTATCTCACGGTATGCACTTATCCCACGGTTGGACGGCGGGACGCAGATACCCTGTGTCTTGACAGTGCGAACAGCAGGAACTGTGTAGACTGGAAACGACCGTAGATAGCGATGCACAAGGGAGGCCTGTTACGCATGCACGCAACTCCTATGCTTGTGCTGAGTTCTCTTGAACTCCTTGGCTTACTAATCACGTCTCCCAGGAAGATGGGTGCTCCTGAGCGATGTGGTGTTCGGCCGCAACCTCCGAAGAAGGACGCAGCCCAGCGAGAAAGGATGTCACTTCGCCACGATTTTCAAGGTACCCCCGTAAATTAAAGTCGGTTGACAATAATCCGGCCAGCCCCTGCTTCGAGAAGACCCCCACAGACACCGACCAGGGGTGGGTGAAAGAGAAGCACAACTCGGGAACTCCAAGTTTTAACGTTCAGTTCCGGGACAGCATCAAATTGACCCTCACTCCTTTGCATAAGCTTAGTCAAAGGATGTGCCCGGCAACTTCAGAGTCGGAACGCAACGAAATCCACTGGAATTTGGGAGTGTCACACTTCACTGACGTAATTGCTCCATGGAGTAGAGGACAGTAAGCGTGAATGTCGAACACCTCTGCATCGCCGTCTTCCAATGCCTTGGTATGGAATCCAAGTGAAGTAGTTCTTAAACCCATAACTTTGTTAACAATGATTGAGATTGTTCCTTTGTTCCGTATGTAGAAAGAAGCAGTAACGCGCTAGCGGAACTGTCCCTCAACTGCGTTGGTGGGCTGATGTAAGCTGCCGAACTAGTGTAGTCCCAGGACAGAACTAGTGTAGTCTCGCAGTTAATGTGAAGAGAAGACTATATCTGAACGCCAGAAGCAGCCTTCCATGAGAGCGGTAAAGGAGCAGTTGCTATGGAAGGCCATCGTCGAGGCTTAATGCAGGAGTTTCATGAGGATTGGCGGCGGCAACCCTGCAAAGTGGAGGCTCACAGGATTGCGCCACGCATTCCGAAAGTCAATGTGACTCAGGAAACCTCAGCTCTTGAAGCGGCCAACAAGGGTATGAAGAGGCGCTTTCGTAGCCATCGACGATCCTTGGAGGCAGCAAGGTAAAGGTGTAGAGCCCTAACAGGGAAGAGTGTCAAATCTTCAGTATCATCAGGCCCAAAAATGGACAATGGGGGAATGGTAAAGATCCGGTCCGGTTGCCCTGGCAGTTGGTTTTTCACGATGAAGTCCCAGTGGAGACCCAGGAAAAAAACCTTGCCATGCTTCTTCGGCTCGAACCACACGCGATTGACAACAAGCGCGTGAAGCTCAGATATACGAGCAGCAGTAGCCATGCTACCAGGAAGAAGAATGTCACTTCACTCGAAGTCCCTGTCTTCTAAAGGGTTGTAGTCTGTAGAATCACATGACGAAGGACAACGGACAGTTCCCAGACCAGAAGTCTGAACTTCCTGGACTGGTTGGTGAGTTGTAGAAGTGAAGAACACTCTGCAATTCTGGAAGAGTGGAGATCTTCGTACCCATGTTAGTAGCCAAAACCAAGTTGATAGCAGCCAGTTAGGTAGCTAACGTAGTACCCTTGAGTTCCCTAGTAGCACAGAGAAGCTGCAGGAACGCAGAAACGACCTGAGTAGAGGCAGATTGCAAGATGGATTTCCCTAATGTTACAACAGCCTTCAAACTTCTTCCACTATCGTCGTAGAAAGAACGGGTCGAATTACGATGAACTGAAGTGATAGCTGTGGCTACTTGACGAGAGTAGCCTTAGCTATGAGTAATCTCTGGAGATGCGCCGAGTGTTGATTAAGGGTCTGAGGGGACCAGAGGCGTAGTTCCGAGGGAGGGTGAAAAAGCAGGTTGCCCCGGGCGGGAAGTGGTACTGGGTTTGGCTCTGCCAGGCTTCTTAGGTCAACAAACTAACTTCTCGCTGGTCAGGACTTAGTGCAGGACCAAAAGCAGTAGAATCTTACTGGTGGTCAACAGCTTCTGTATTACAGATGAACACCAGAAATGGGCTTCATTCACACATTATACCCATGTGGGGATTCGAACCCGGGTCTTCGGCTTGACGGGTTCAGGAAGATGAATCAGTTCCTTGGGCTTGTCGGCCTAAAGGTATGGGCACAAAAAGTGCTGTGAATTCTGTACGTTAGGGCTTGATCTGATGTCAGAAAGCTTAGTAGCTCCTGCCACTGAGATAGCACTGGAGCAACACATCACTAGATCTTCATCCACCTGTCTTGAAGGGCGAACATCATCCCTTGACTGGTGTCAAACAATGGATCGATGAAGTGGGGTCTCTGGATCGATGTTAGTTTCGATTCCACAAAGTACAATAGCCACCCTAACTACCGGAGCAGCATGGTGGTGAACTGCAGTTGGCGAAGAAGTACGAATGAATCCTGTTGTGCCTGGATGCAATCATCAATGTAGCTTCGAAGGTGAAGTAGCGCCTAAAGTTGAACTGTGTAAGTGAAGGCTAGTGCTGTTGTAAGGAGACCTAGCAACTCTTGTCACTGATGTAGGGATATCTCTCCTGAGATAGGAACGTTTAAATAGTCAAGCTACCATGGCAGCACTGACCGAGTGCTGAATGTAGTAGAGTCGGCGCATAGATATTGTCAATCAATCTACAGGAACGTTCACACTGTGCACGGAGTGATGAAGGTCATAAAATCGGTGATCTCAGGAACGTTGGTTCGCCAAATGAAGTATTGGTCCGCCAGATGGAGTGATAAAGTTAGTAGGTTCGACGCATGGAGATCGTTGATCTACCGAAACATTCGTAAAGTTGCTGTAATGACAAAGGTAAAAAAGCCTGGCGACGTCAGGGAAGGTTCCTCTGGGGGACAAAGGCAGTAAAATCTGTGCCTGGGGACCAAAAAGCACAAAGGCAGTAAAATCTGAACTGAGGGCTTGGGCTAAAGTTGAAAGCCGAGTAACTCTTGGTGAACTGTCTCTCTCGGCTGGCTGACGAATCCCGACATAGTCACTCTTACTGGGAATGGAAATGTTCATCGTCAATGGCAATAAAAGGCTGGGATTGTTATCCGCTTGTAGGACCTAGACAGATCTGTCAGTGTACTTCATAGTGACTCTATATATCATAATTCTCCGGTAAACAAGGGGTAGTCTGCCATTTGCAAATGGTACCCACAATGCAACAGTGACAAAACTCTGGACAACATGGTCTTCGGTGAACCGTGCAAGGCACAACTCCGTAAGATCTCGGCAAGGGGATGATAGCTACTTGACATCAATACTGGTACCATGCGCAGAAACTTGACCCATCTGTCCAGAAGCTTGCTGATGTAAAGGAGAGGGTGATGAAGATGACAAAGCAGGCCATGATTACACCAAAACGCTGTTATGAGTAGTTTGCAAATGGTACCCACAGGACTCAGTGAAGCGTCAGAAAAATTCCTGGATAGCAAGCCTGTCTAGTAATGCACAGACGAGTGGTTGTGGAGCTGATATCTACGCTGAAGGGTAGATTCCTAAACCAAATCATTCATCAAGGTGAAGATCGGAAGGTAGATAAATCCGGAATGATATGAGCTCTGGTCACGTAGTCTAAGTCAGGGAGATTGGGGATCGTCAGAGCGTCAAGTGCCGATGTAATCTAAATGTCTGCACTACTGACATAGCTACTTCATCTGTTCAATCAGCAGAAAGGGGGTACCAGGTGGAATAAATCTTGTGACTAAAATCTTCTAGTGCCTCACATGCCGTAGGATAATCCGGAGAGCCAAGTCGAATGGTCATGCTAAGAGCATGCCACTCCGTGGTGAGGAATTCAGCGGATCACAAATGCCCTGAATATTAACATCGTGTTGAAAGCTGGTAGAGTTTAATTAACAGCTGGTATAATTGACCGTATCTAGATGCAAGGTCATGATCCTCGATGAGCATGTAAAAAAACAGTGTTGACAAGTTCCAATCCGTCAAGCTGAATGTAGTAAGTAGATCATCTGGTATCTTGCTCAAGATAGCTGTACATGAGTGAGTGAGTGAGTATGATCTTACGCCGGATAGCTGTAGCTGTAATCAAGTGACCATGTGTGTCGAATGAACCAACATTATTGCTGTACCTTAAAGGCGGCATGGTTCAGCAATGCTGGCAGTTCGGTGAATACTGATGGTTCGGCGAACGCTGTTGGATCTGCGATCTGGCACGGTTCGATGACGATGACCAGGCTTCTGCGCATGCGCTCTGCGAGGTCAGGTGTAGAGATCAGCTGATTCTTGTCCGAAACAGATAAGCCAGGTTGCCGAGATAACTGGTCCGGTGAACGAGAGACGTAGTTCGAAGGTCCCGCTGTGTAGAGGTCTCCTGAGGGGTGGTGGCAGTCTCGACAACCACTACCCCGGGATGTGGTCGAAGACGAAGTGACTCGGGCTGGAATGTTGAGAGCCCAACAAATGCCGAATGTCTTCCGATAAGTAAGAATCTGACGACTCTCTCATGAAATTCTCTTCATTTGAGTGAGGGCACTGTGACTGCCGAGCAGACAAAGTAGGACGCTTAAACTTTCCTTTCTAGGAGGGACTGGGTCCGTCAAGTGAAGCTGCATAACGAGCTCTGTCAGCAACACGACGGCGCAAGTCCGAGTGTAGTCACCAAGTAAGAACCTTGCATACAACGAGAGTCCCATTTACACTGCCCCATACAGTGAATACAATATCCATGTGGATCACTCGCGGAGAACGCTATATTACACCGGGAGCATTTTCTCCTCTTCTTAGGCTGGTCAAGTTTCCCCATGTTGTAGACTAAGTTGTAAACGATCCACACTCGTGTGCGACAAGAAAGAGAACGATGATTCAGAGATAGTCACGTTGGCAGCTAGTGGTGCATGCCACATGCTGTGCATGAGAGCTGGGAAGCTGTCTTATAATGAGGGTAGCATGGAGGGCTTGGGTGGATGGACAAGAGAGGCCTAGGGAAAAAGGTTTACATCATTCCACTCAGTGTCGAATCAAGAGAGAGAAGTGCATACCATGAGATAGGATAAGTTTAAAAATTACTAGATTTGTGTAGATTATCTAAAAAAGCTTTTAAATTGAAACAAGATATTCTTCTCATGCAAACACATATAGTCACAAATCACCTACTTTGTTGATCCTGTTCCTCCGGTTGCAACAGATAAAATCTTCTCGAGGAGTCAAACACTGGGTTCATTTGAGAAGCTATCCTGGTAGCATTCTGCACAATAAGCTCTGACTCAGCTCGATGGTTTGTTTGCAGCTCAATACCAAACCCAAGTGGCGCCAGCACTGTGAATATGTCACCCAGGAAGTTACCAGGCTCGATTGACGGCAACTGTCGAACATCACCCAGCAGAATGATCTTCTTTAAGCAGCACTGTTTCAGCAGGATGTTTAACACTGTGGCAAAAGTCCCGACCGACACCAGACTACACTCATCCACTACTAGAACCTCCTTGTCAGCATGAGTCCAGCTTGTACCTTTCTCACCGTTAGCCTTCTTCTTGTTCATCAAGATACAAAACATCTTATAACTCATAATGACACTGTGGAGGGTGCAGGACTTCAACTGAGCCTTCCTGCCCAACAAGTTTGCTGCCTTCCCTGTGGGAGCGGTCAGCAGGACCTTCTGTCCAAGCACAGTCTTCGACAAGGGTGTATCCGCCTCCTCTTGGTTGCCATCTTTAGTCATGGCTTCACTATCTGCCTGTGTCGTGTTGAATGTTGCGTCCCCGATCCCAGACCTGTCCTGTTTCAATGGTGTCCTGCTGGTGTTCTCATCTTCATCCTCTTTGTTTTCATCAGAACTGGTTTGGTGGAATGAAAGTCAGTAATTTATCACGAATTATCAAGATGCTGACATTGTCTGATTCAAAGTTAGATCAACACTACATTGTGCTTCACTGCTCTGGAGTAATGATGCCTATGTTACAAATACATAAAAATTATCAAACGTTATTCAGTAAATACATGTGATATTAGCATTTCTGCAGGGAGCAAAAGATAATTTCTATTTGTTTAGGGTATTACCATAACAACAGATTGTTTAAGATTTTATAGGTCAATATTACCAAAATTAAGGAGGTTATTCTCAATATAACAGGTTTTTAGTCTACGTTCATATAAAAAAAAAAAAACCAAAATAAAACACTCTTGAAGGAACAGTTTTAAATCACTCCAATGAAAAATGTTCAGTCAAGAACTGGTGTGTTATTTTTTTAACAGGGCTTGGGTAATTTTTCAACATCAGGAGTACATAGCCCTTATTTTTTAATCATTGGAGTACTGGAAAACTGAGTATAGGAGTACTGAATGCAATTTGATGGAGTATGCGATCTTGTGTTTCGTTTCACATATGCACCACAACATTGCAACTCTTGTGTAAACAGGTAAAAAAACAAAAAACAATACTTTTTTCAGATAAATACATTTGTTAATAATTCTAAGACGTACACGATTGTTGTGGTGCGTATCTGCTACGTTTTCTAAATTATTTCCTACCATATCGTGCATGTTTATCATCCATATATACGCCGATACATCCCTTATTTGGAGCCCTGTTTTTAACATTCATTGTGCATACTTGTGCAAATTCAGAGCAGGCAACAAAAGGGAGGTAATGAAATTCAGCATGAAATACATAAGTGATTACAAGGATATATTACTCTGGGGCTTTTCCACTTCGGACAAAGGCATGGCTGAGAAGCTTGGTGACAACGGATGTCTTGCCACACCCTCCTTTCCCAGACAGGACAGCAATCGGAGAGTTGACCATCAGGTGGACGGCTGTCCACTGATCTGTGTCTGTCCTGGTGCTGTCAAAGTCTTCACTGAAAACAGATGAATAATAAAACATTACTTCACTCGGTTCAGTGAGATCGGGTTTCCTATCACAAAACATAAGATATCGAGCAGGATACATGGGCGACCTCTAATCAGATTTTAATCCATTTCATTTCATGATATTGATGTACACAATAAACCATACATTGATACAAACACTCAGCTGAAATACATTGCGGAAATTACCACAAGAAGAAGACAAAGTCATCAATATCCCCTGCAATGGTAAAATACTCTTCATGATCATGTCAACTAGTTATGACTATGTCAAATGTTACATTGTTCTTCTCATTCACCTAATGAAAACAGATATATGTAAACTATTCATGTACTAGCATGCTTGTATCAACAACAGACTGCCTGAGTGCTTTCATGGTTTGATGTATCTCAGTAATGTTGATACTGGAAATTGAGTGGTACTGGTGATTTATGTCATTAGGTTCTTGAATACCCACAAAGTGGAAGGAGAGTATTTGAAAGGTTTCAAAGTTCTGCTCCGGAAAACAGCACTACCACCAATTTCAGTGAAAATTGTTGAAATAAAAACGAAAAAAATATTTTATTCAGTAATCCAAATCTACCAAAAGGCACCAGTTCACAAACAGACCTATATATGTGCCAATTTGGGTGAAGAAACATTTTTTTATGTTTTGCTCCAGAAAAGACGAATTTGCATGGATGGATGCACAGACGGACCGACAGACAGAGTCCAAAATAACAAGCACAGACGGACGACAGACGGAGTCCAAAATAACAACCACAGACGGACGGACAGACGGAGTCCAAAATAACAACTTCTTTGTCTTCATTAGTAACTACAGTATTATTGTAATGGGCTATGATAGATTTTCAATACTTTCTAAGCATTAATTGGAATGATTAAACCTTATTTAAAAACACACACCTAAAAACAATAATTAACTCACATTCCGAAATATATAAACAAGCATCAAGCATATCATAACCTGAACTAAAAGAATTGCATGTCCCAAGATCAGACAGAACCAACCTAGTAAGGTCTACATCCATTTCAAGGGGATCCCTACTTCCATTCTCCAGAACAGCTGCAAAAGCCTTGGCAGTGTCTCTCTCCGCGTACCAGAGATTCTTGAGGAATATCTTGACATGATCAACCTCTTCTTCAAATATTATTACAGCATTTTCATTCAGGAACGCGAGAGCTTCTTCCCAGTTCTGCACGACATGTTTCTCAAAGAACAGGGCTGAACGATACCTCAGTTCATTTTCATTCACATACGTGTGTCCTCTCTTCTTGGCGTGCAGTTTGAGAGCATTGTACATGTACAAAGCATCTTTCTGTACAGGTGGTATGTGGTTAATCAGACCGGAGTTGATCCATGACCGCAGATGTGCCTCCAAGCCCATCACCCCAAAGTCCCGGTACATGATCTGTGGTCAAGGGAGAAAAGCTTATCAGTTTCCACTGGACCAGCATTGAAGTATTCTTAGTGTCACATATTTATCTGCTAAGGAGCATGTCTTTAATGCACTGATGAGAATTTTTCAACACAATAGGCAATATTGTAGCCATGTTACAACAGGGAGTAGAGGTTCAAACATCACTATCTTCTATCCATGTGGAGATGAGTGTCTTAAGAAACAAATATGTATATATTAAGAAAGAATCATTAAATCATGAACCACTTTGTACGGTAAAAGTTAATGACCAGGGAAGCAACTGCAGCAACTGCAGAAATGGAGAAGTACTCCATTTCTAGTAAAACACAGCCCAACCTTGTAACCTAAGCTAACACTAAGCCCTATATATAACACTAAATCAAACTAATAATGACGTAAAGATCCATCTTTGTGGATAGTGAACTCAAAGGTTCTTGGCTGCCAGTGGTCCCAATGCAACTGATCAGGTAAGTATACTGAACTCAAAGGTTCTTGGCTGCCAGTGGTCCCAATGCAACTGATCAGGTAAGTATACTGAACTCAAAGGTTCTTGGCTGCCAGTGGTCCCAATGCAACTGATCAGGTAAGTATACTGAACTCAAAGGTTCTTGGCTGCCAGTGGTCCCAATGCAACTGATCAGGTAAGTATACTGAACTCAAAGGTTCTTGGCTGCCAGTGGTCCCAATGCAACTGATCAGGTAAGTATACTGAACTCAAAGGTTCTTGGCTGCCAGTGGTCCCAATGCAACTGATCAGGTAAGTATACTGAACTCAAAGGTTCTTGGCTGCTGATCAGTGGTCCCAATGCAACTGATCAGGTAAGTATACTGAACTCAAAGGTTCTTGGCTGCCAGTGGTCCCAATGCAACTGATCAGGTAAGTATACTGAACTCAAAGGTTCTTGGCTGCCAGTGGTCCCAATGCAACTGATCAGGTAAGTATACTGAACTCAAAGGTTCTTGGCTGCCAGTGGTCCCAATGCAACTGATCAGGTAAGTATACTGAACTCAAAGGTTCTTGGCTGCCAGTGGTCCCACTGAACCAATGCTGCCAGTGAACTGATCAGGTAAGTATACTGAACTCAAAGGTTCTTGGCTGCCAGTGGTCCCAATGCAACTGATCAGGTAAGTATACTGAACTCAAAGGTTCTTGGCTGCCAGTGGCCCCAATGTAACTGATCAGGTAAGTATACTGAACTCAAAGGTTCTTGGCTGCCAGTGGTTCCAATGCAACTGATCAGGTAAGTATACCTGTTTAAAGCCGAACACCCACAGCTTGGACTCTGTTGCTTCCTCCAGCGCCTGCAGGTTCATCTCTCCGATGCTATCAGTCTTCTCCGCCAGCTTCAGAAAGTGACATGGCAGCAGCTGGGAAGCCACATTGAACAGCTTTGGATAACGAGTCGCAAACTGGACAACTTTCCCTCCGGCTTTGAAATAAAAAGACATTGCAAACAACAGTGTTAAATGACAGAGTAAGTGAACGCTTATTTACGATGTACAGGTCAGGTCCCATTTCACAAAGTGATCGTAGTGCTAGGACTATCCTAAGGCTGCTTTGCTGAATTTAACAATAATATCAACAAAACATTTCTTTTAATGCCATTTTTTTCATCCTGTTAAAATGTTTAAAGAGTTAATTCTAATACGCCTTTTGTATATGTGATTTGGATGATAATTATTCATGACCATAAAGATATATTCAAACGAAAATACTGAACTAATATGAATAGAAATTAAACATGGCAAAATATCAAGTGACATCATTGTTTGAAATTTAAGGGTCCTGGACCCCATTACACAAGCAATTGCAGTGCAAACACAATCACTTGGCACATGGCAATTATAATGCTAAGACAAGTGTGTACTCTTGTACTTCACAATCACTTGGCACATGGCAATTATAATGCTAAGACAAGTGTATACTCTTGTACTTCACAATCACTTGGCACATGGCAATTATAATGCTAAGACAAGTGTGTACTCTTGTACTTCACAATCACTTGGCACATGGCAATTATAATGCTAAGACAAGTGTGTACTCTTGTACTTCACAATCACTTGGCACATGGCAGTTATAATGCTAAGACAAGTGTGTACTCTTCAATACTTCACAATCACTTGGCACATGGCAATTATAATGCTAAGACAAGTGTGTACTCTTGTACTTCACAATCACTTGGCACATGGCAATTATAATGCTAAGACAAGTGTGTACTCTTGTACTTCACAATCACTTGGCACATGGCAATTATAATGCTAAGACAAGTGTGTACTCTTGTACTTCACATTCACTTGGCACAAGGCAATTGTAATGCTAAGACAAGTGTGTACTCTTGTACTTCACAATCACTTGGCACTTGGCAATTATAATGCTAAGACAAGTGTATACTCTTGTACTTCACAATCACTTGGCACATGGCAATTATAATGCTAAGACAAGTGTGTACTCTTTGTACTTCACAATCACTTGGCACATGGCAGTTATAATGCTAAGACAAGTGTGTACTCTTGTACTTCACAATCACTTGGCACTTGGCAATTATAATGCTAAGACAAGTGTGTACTCTTAATACTTCACAATCACTCGGCACATGGCAATTATAATGCTAAGACAAGTGTGTACTCTTGTACTTCACAATCACTTGGCACATGGCAATTATAATGCTAAGACAAGTGTGTACTCTTGTACTTCACAATCACTTGGCACATGGCAATTATAATGCTAAGACAAGTGTATACTCTTGTACTTCACACATAAATATGACAAATGTAGAGCTAAGACAAACTGTATACAAGAATTTAGGGGACGTGAATTCCTGTGTCCTATACGCATAAAAATTGACAACGGATGCAAAAAAATTTATTAGCGCATCCACAGGACGCAGAAAAAGTCCAAATACTTTTTGTAAAAATTTCTATCAAGTAACAATAAATTATCACTGGGTCTGCTACAAGATTGGTTATGGTATCATTTGCAATATAATTACTGTAACAAAGTGATGATCATGATACACAATACAATAACAGTAACCAAAATACAACAATATTACAACATAGTATTAATAATAATATTGGGACCCTGATTTTGTAGTCCAGGACCCCTGAAAATTAAGGGTAAGAGTCCCAGGGACCCTCAAATACAGGACTCAAGGTAAATCCCTGTGTATACTCTCATACATTAACACTGAAATATGAATACTGTAATGCTCAGAGAATCATATATTCTCATACTTTGACACAGGCATATGATAACTGTAGTGCTAAGGTTGCTTTGTGGAACTGAAATTGACTCCTTGACTGTCATGCTTCATGGTGAACTCAAGTTCCCAAACATCTTTTGACAATTTAAAACATTATTCATTGTGTTTCATTTACGTATTCAGATTACCCTTCAGATGTCTTACAAGTGACACAATCTGTCTTGTATTTTGATTTGACTTTGAGATTGTCCCGCAAACATTTCCAGTTCTAATAATGGAGCCTTTCATCCTGGAAGCAAACTTATGTTCCTTACCTGTCTTCCATATAGCTGAGTTCAGGGACTTCTTGACAGATACAAGATCAGCTTCTCCAAGCGTCCGTAAATACTTCTCAATCTCCCCTTCCAGATCCTTAAACTGTAACCTCTGATCAATACCATTATCTCTGCAAAATAAAATTAATCTCTGTCATTGATGATGGGCAATAGCAAAAATAATATATTTTCCTGAGATGTTAAAATAAACTATTGGCATACATGCCCAGGAGGAGTATGTGATGTCATGATGAAGCACAATGATAACAACTGACACATAGAACTTTAAATGACGTTTCCATTTTGGAGATACAGTCTGACTGATGCTGTAAGACTAAAAGCCTCTGTGAGGATTTGGGGTTAGCATAATAAGGTCCAAAGCAACCAATACTATAGTACTGACGGAAATAGATCTGTCATTTATCTCTACAATTTATGTAGTTGATATGTGAAAGTGTGAAATATCTGTTAAACTAAGTTCGGCCTAACTACAGTCTCGGTGGTAGAGAGATAGGAAACGGAGAAAAAGGACTTTACTGAGGGGAAATTAGTGCAGAAATGAGCAATGCGGTTTTTTTCTAAGTCCAAAAAGACTTACTTGGAACAGACCATGGCTTTATGCAAATGAGTGTGCGACGATATTGTATTACAAAGGACACTTTTTAAATGCCCAATTTGAAATTAGACGTAGATTCATTATAAACGATAGCTGACGTAAACAATAATAACTTTTATGCCGAAACTATTAAGGATGTAGCTGCCATGCAGTCTCACTGTCACTATAAAAACAAACAGATAGGAGGGGTCGCCTCAAAAGCAAAACCTGGTTTCGGGCTTGGGGATAGAGATATCAGCTAAGATAAGATAATCCTTTAGGGCAATTATACTCGGGAGGTACACGGCACGTCATAACAATTTACAAATAATATCCAGTCCTGTCGATCTTCGGGTGGTCATGCCACCTATATACTCACGATCGCGTTTCTATAGTTTTCGAAAGTATCATATTGTTTTACATATCTCAACATAAACTTTATGAAAGAAAGACACATAAGATGTTAATCAATAGATGAGACATAGTCAACACACATGAAAAAGCACAAAATATCTTTGAGAGGACCCCTTGTGCCTGTAGGCAGCACGTGCATTTCATGCCAGGTGAGTCGACGGTCCGTCGTCATACCTGGCTGAGCGACCTAATTGCCATCTATAGTCTGATCTATTGTTTTCAGCAGCTATTCGTATTTATTCTAAGTTTTGCCCGATTTTACGAGTAAACATGCTTTTCTGGATATCGTATTACGCATCCCACTGAACGCCCAGTTAGGCCGAAGTGGGTTATTTCGACATATGCTATTTGCAATTGTGTAAATTTTAGGGAAACAGAGTAACAGCCTAAAAACACAACTTTGCAGATTCTGATACCTTTCAGTATGGACTTACAGTAACAAATTATCAAAAACGCAAATTCAACTTATAAAGTTGAAAAATAACACGACGTTTTTTATATGTTATGACAGTATATTACTGATTTAACTGCTTATATAATTTCATTTGACTATTTCACCACACGTTCTTCTTACCAAGTCACTTTCTCAGTTCGATACTTAAAAGCAACGTCATTATATAGCATTGTCAGAATTTCTAACTGTGATATAGATATGCCTCTGTCACAGACAAAACTCAGTTTTATTGACACCTATGTGTCTGCCTGCCTGTCTGCTAATGACAATATTCAATACACAACTTCGATCACTGACCACATGCAATTTGAACTTAACACCTATCAGGGCTATACACCATAAACAAAACCCATTGATTTATGGCTCGTGCACCCGAGTTCTGTCTCTGTCACATTATGTAATTACACAGACAGGCAGGTGTGACACTTGTATACATGACATGTTATGATGTCTGTTGATTGCAAAATTTTATACACAAAGAATGAGCATGTATTTACAAAACCCAACATCTCTATACACACACGAGCCCTGAGTGTATCTGCAAATGAACCAGCCAATGAAAGTTTTCGTTACACTTAAGTGCACGCCCACCCGCTCTGACTGGGTTTGGTATCCCGGGTGCTTTGTTTCGAGGTAAGTAAACCCAAGTACAAATTATTGCACTTTTGATTTGTGATTGTACGCTTATAATGTTGTTTATTTGTTTTTTCATAATCAGCAATGTATATTATATGTCATGAAAAAATGATAATTGTGTTTTAATGATGTTTATTTTTTTGGTTACATCTAAGCTTTAAGCAAATTAACATCAAGGCTCTACAAGTCGTATCAAAGCCATGATTTATGACATTCCTGAATGAAAAATAAGTTTCTCACGAAAAACATATTCTCTGAATATCAAAGCTTGAAAGTTACTCACTCAAAATACTTTATCAAACCATCAACCATTGGATCTGAGTGGTCGTCTTCTGTGCGTCCCACCGATGTAAGGAATTGGATAACCAGTTTATGGGATGTGACAGCATTGTCTTCACGTAATTCATATTTAGGATGTCCGTTAATGTAATGGCACCGTTGTCTGTACTTGGCCTGTGCAGTTATCAACCACCATGGGTCAATCAGTTGAAGCTGGCCTTGACAGAAATATTCTCTCTTGGGTGGGGTAACAGTCTTGATGGTCACTATAAAATAGATAAAGATTTATTCATTAAATTATGTTTTCGTAATATAGTTACAAATTCAGTTTCACCTTTGTAAATAACAATATGTTTCAACCATAATGATGTAATTTTTAAAGTAAAATTGATATTTTATACTTATCCTGACTCATGATCTGTTGCTTATCTCCTTCTTCTAAGCGAATGTTAGTGGAACACTTGAATCCCTTGTAGTTCCCTAAAGCGGACGTAAAAGTTCACTCACCAACGAGTTACCTCCCTTTTCCTGCGCAAACAGTCATGTGACCAGACATACTTGCCACTCTCTCCTGAATACCCAATGCACTTGGATCTACTGTGAAATCCGAAGTGTCTTCAGCGGGGTGGTCGGAATGGGTTTGACCTCATGAGTCAGGATAAGTATAAAATATCAATTTTACTTAAAACATTCCATATTTTTCCTTATCCTGACTCATGATCTTTTGCATATATAATCCGACGGATAGGTGGTGGGTCAAGCCACTTCGTGGATTCATCAGCTGTCCTTAGATACGTCCTGTATCCCCGCCATGGGAACTGCGTAACGGCATTTCCTAGATCCTATTCTTCCAACTTCCGTTATAAACTCGGGGAGGGTTATGGTTTGGGGTGGGGGACCACTAGTATCTTCTCTTACTTCTCTCTCAAGACAAGTGAGATCTTCTATGATTCTTGTGGGTGTGGATTTTAGATATACTAGTATATACTTTTACTAGTTATCTATAACAACCCATAGATTATGATAGATAGTTATCATAATTTTGGAGTTCGCAATATTGTAGTTAAGGATTGATGCACTTTATGGAGCATTACAGGTAAGATCGATCTTACCAAATTTGGTATGTAATACAGAGTCTTAATCACTCATGCTAGTCTAGTCTAGACTGTCCATTCTTGCATGGACTTTCAAACTAATAAAACATTTTCAAAATAGTAAAAGTTATCAACAAGTCAATGTGATAAAGGGTGGTTCGATTTCCAACTCAGCCTTACACCTTTGTGGAACTGTTAGTTACATTTTCCTTGTGCTACAACAAGAGGCGATTTCCAACTCAAAACTGGTGGAATGCCTGACAACTCAAAACTGGTGGCTATGTCTCTGAGGTAGTGGTTGGCAAACACTGTATCCAACTTCCAAAAGCAGCCCTCCATTATTGATGATATTGAGCAATTTCCACGCAGAGCGAGTGTATACACCAGTGCTCTGATTTCATGTGGGTTGGAAGCACTTGGCGGTTCTAATCCTGCTGCTTTATAGGCTATTAGTATAATGGCTCTCATCCAAAACGATATTGTCGTTCTTGAGACCTCCACCGATGTCTCCGTCAACAAGGCGATGAAAAGGCGCTTGAATTTTCTTCTCCTTGTTTTAGTCTTTTGAAGATATATCTTCAAGGCTCTGACAGGACACAAGGTTAAGTCCTGGGTGTCCAATGGACCAAGGATCGTAGATAGCGCTGGCACATGGAACTGTCTATCTGGTTGACCAGATAGTTGATTCTTTGCAATAAAATCCCATCTAAGTCCTAGATACTGCAGCACGGTGCCCCGTGTCGAATCTAGTTCGTCCAAAATCCAGCGCATGTATCTCTGATATTCGAGCTGCCGTGGCTAAGGCAAGGAGGAACAGAGGTTTCTGTGTAAGTAGCTCGAAGGTAGTATGCTCTAGAGGTTCATAGGCATCACTCATGAGATGTCGTAGAATTACTCCCAAGCTGGTGCTCTGAATTTCTTTTGCTGGTCTTCCAATTTAAAAGAGCGTAGCAGAGCAAGTAATTCAGGTACTTTCGTCAATTTGATGCCTGTCTTCATAGTGACGACTGTACTAAACGCTGCCAGATATGTAGATAATGTCGAACCTTTCAAATGCCTTGTATATCTAAGGTGACATAGATATTCTGCCACTTGAGGATGAGAAGCTTTTATAGCTGTGAAGCCTTTCTGCCTTGCATATTGTTCAAATTTCTGCCATTTGTCGTCATACAAATTGCGAGTTGATCTGCGTAATGCTAAGGTTACTGCTTTTGCTGCTCTGGCGGAGTATCCTCTTTTCTTTAGACGAGTTTGATGCGGTACACACGTGTAACTGGAACACTAGTGGGTTCCCGTGGACTTGCTTGGTGTGCGGATGTATGAGTAGGTTCGGCCATTCTGGTAGTTTGAGGGTTGGACTTCAGAGTTCTTGTACTAGATCTAAGAACGAGACTCTCGCTGGCCAATAGGGCGCAACCAAAGTCAGTTGTAGCACTTGGGTCTGTTTGATCTTCAATGGTACTTTCGCGCAGGGGTGGAAATAACTTTAAAATTGCTAGTGTACTTTTGGCACAGTGGCACATGTAAAATCACTTGCCCTGATAATTTTCCCACTATATGCTGATTTCCTTGTTGATTTTTTAAAGTAAAACAATATAATTAACATAAGAAATCAACCGGACATGTACTGATACTGAATTTGCTTGCCCCACAGAAAAAACACTGTTGCAATGGGTTATTTCCATCCCTGGATAGTAAGATCGACTGGTGAGCGTTTAGTCCTTCCCTTGATATGCTCAGTGCATCTGTTGCCCAGGCTTGAGGATCTGATACTGGTGAGACGAATGTCTGTAGATGTTTATTGAACCTCGTGGCAAACAGGTCTATGCATGGGGATCCTATTTCCCTTATGATGAGCTGAAATGCCTCTGGGTGGAGCATCCATTCTGTTGGTGACGGATGAAGTGGACGAGATAGAGCGTCTGCTAGTACGTTCTTGGCTCCTGGTATGTGACACGCCTTTAACCAGATGTTTGCTTCCTCCATGATGTTGAAGACCTGGAATGTGAGCTGAAGTAGGCTTGGTGATCTCGTTGATCCCTGCCGATTTATGGAGAATACCACTGTTGAGTTGTCCGTGTGGAATATCAGCATTCTGTTGATCATTGAGCTCGACCAAATTTCTAAGGCTGGATCATGGCTTTCATTTCCAGCAGATTGATGTGAAGATGCTGTTCTAGTTTCAACAACTTTCCTGATGCTACTTGGTTGTTGAGATGCATCCTTGTAGTGATGCAAGGTGGTGTGTGTCGAAGACCGGCTCTTGTAAATAGGTCCCTCCGCAGACATTCGACCTGTGAGTCCACCATAGCAGGTACGTCTTGAGATTGTCTGGTAGCGAGATCAGGTTGACGGTGTCCAAATGCTGCAACGGGCGTAGTTGTAATCTTCCTGTGCGAGTCAAGTCCTGCGCTGAGGTTTGTAGACCGAGTAGACACTGCCATGTTCGTAGTGGTAACAGAGATGACTGCTTCTGGAATCATGGCTTGAATCTTGACCCAACGATCTTCTGGGACCACAATTCGATTCTGTGTTGTGATAAATCTTATTCCCAGAAATTGAAGATCTTGTTTTGGTTCCAACTCTGATTTCATCAGGTTCACTAGCCATCCCAGTTGTGTGAGCAATTTGATTGTGAAGTTTAGCTGCTGTCTGAGTTGATTGGCATTTTGATGAACCTGTATCCCGTCGTCCAGATAAAAGGCACTGCGTAGACCTCGATGATGTAGATAGGTGATGATAGGCTTGGTCCCTCGTGTGAATAACCACGGAGCCGACAATATTCCAAATGGTAGGACGTTCCATTGGAAGTGCTGACCTCTGAATAGGAATCTTAGATATTTTCTTGATTCCAGATGTATTGGCATGTGCAGATATGCATCCTGAAGGTCTATGCTGGCCATGTAATCTGCTTGATGGACGAGTTGTCTGAGTTGAAGTAGGTGGATCATTTTGAACCTGTCTGGTTTGAGTGAATAGTCTTGGTTGAATTTCCTCATGTTGTAAATCAACCTGAATTTCTCTTTGGAATTCTTCTTGGGTACTAGGAAAATTGGGGAGTAAAAGCCTGGTGTGAGATGATGTTGATCTATTCTTTCTACTGCGTTCTTGGTTAGAAGCGAGTTGATGGCTTCTTCTAACTTGTCTGCTTGCTCGTCTGCATAGTCAAAGACTATCGGTCTGAGTGTTAACAGTGGTGTGGCCTTGAGCTGCACTCTGTACCATTCTCGCAGTACTTGTGAGACGTCGGCGTCCTCCAATATACCCCAATTTTCCCAGTACCTTTGTAGACGTCCACCCACTGTCGATGGTTGTACAGGAACGGTTGGGGGTGGAAGTGTCCAGTTGTTCTGAACCCCATTTTGAGCGTCTAGCTCCTCTCGAAACTTTTGGGATTACGTCCTCTCCCAGGGTTCTCTTTGTAGTTTCCAGATGGGCGACGAAAAGAGCTCTTCCCGCCCCTGAAGCTGGAGTATTTCTTCTCCTTTGCCTTCTGAATACCGGAAAACTTGGACTTGTTGCTGTACTTCTGTGAAGTATGGCGAATGACGCTGGCCAAAGTGTCTATAGACTTGATCAGCATGACTTCCCTTGAGTCGTGAATAACTTCCTTAGCAGCTTCATCAATCTCCCCTCCGAAGATAGTAGGCGCCGCCCAAGCTCTTAGTAGTGGTTGGGTAAATCTGTCACTCCAGGAACAAGATGCTAGTAGACCCTGTCCACGTATTAAGGTGAGACCCACCGACATTGAGGCCAAGTGATCCGACATGAAGTGTTGGTCCTTTTTCTGAGTTGGTAGAGCTGATAGTATCCTATCTTCTTCCGACCTAGGGTTCTTGAATTTCGTTATCAATGCCTCATTGATCGCTCTAGACCTTGCTAACCTGAAGAAAGTTCTCCTAGTTGAGGTGTCGAGTTGAGCCACCGTTTTTCCTCCACCTTATAGGCCTTGTTCTGTGAGTCATTAACCAACTTCATGTTGTCGTCTAAGTCCGCCGCTCTCATGAAGGGATCCATATGATGTAGAAGAAACCTCCTCGCGTTGAATGATGGTAGATGTTGATTCTGATGACGAGTTGCTTTCTCAAAAGCTGTGCGTAGGTTCGTAGCCACCTTGGATATTGGTTCAATTGGTGGAATCGTAAGAAAGTCGAAGTCGTCCTTCCACATCTCATATGTGCATGTTTCATCCGATTCCTTGGAGGGGGGCTCTAAGTCCAGTCCATTAGCTATCCAAGATGTGACCTCCGCTTCTGAGAAGACGTAGTCACCTTGTTCATCAGATAGTTCCGAGTCAGTTGAACTGTGCTTTCGCGAACCCTCCTTTTGCGTACTTTCTCTTGGCGAACCTTCCCTTCCCGAACGTTCCTCCGAATGTATGTGAGGGCTGCGGGATCTAGATGTGGAACGGCTGGATCTCGGAGAGGGCTTCCTAGACGTTCTCAAACATTGAGGGTTTGCAGACGTATCTCTCGTAGTCTCAGGGACATCCGCGAACCTTCCATCTTCATTCACGATGACTGAGTGTCAGGATCTCAGGATGAGTCGTCTGAGTGTGAGGATCTTCGCGAACGTAATCTTCAGCTGTAGACCTGTGAGGCGTAGATGTAGGTCTATCAGGTTCGCGAAGGTCCGAGGGTCTGCGAACGTTGCTTGCCCTCGTAGGGTTCTGCCGTGCCTCTGCTTCCTCGGCGAACAGACGCTCCATCATGGCCATCATCTGCGTAGTAAACTGTCTCATAAAGTCGCCCGGATCGAAGTCCTGTGTTGTCTGGGACTGATGCGGCGTGGACGAAGCGTTCGTGACCGCTGAGGTGTTGTGTGCGTCTACTTTGCTGATGTTGTCTCTGATGACTGACATCTGTGTCGTTGGTGGTTGGTCGTCGAACAGCTGAGCAGCTGTCGTAGTTGCAGGAGACGATCGTGTAGGCGCGTGGAGGTCTATTGCGTCGCCATTCTGGCAAGTCTTATAGGTACTTCAGGTATAAGTATCGGAGGGTCAGCAAACACATCTGCTTCGTCAGGCGTGACAATCTCTTCATTAAACGACCTCTGATGTGTTGTCTTACTGGGACGAGTTGATTTCGACGACGATGTAGTTGCAGATGACTTCTTCTGCATCACAGATGATGAAGACGTCTTCTTCTTATTCTGCGATGTCGTCAACTTGGTCGTAGCAGACCTCTTCTTAGACCCAGTAACAGACGGCTGCCCCTGCAACGTACTCGACAAAACACCTGAATTATGTTTTTGGGGAGTAGCAAACAACATACGGTTACCGACTTGATCTCCGGATTTATCAACAGTGACTTGTGATGACTTCCTTACCCGATCCATAGCACGTCTATAGATGTACAATAAATGTTGATTAAATTGCAAATTTGATAAATCAATGCAATATCTACAACGCAAGGTGGAAGAACATGGATTAATGCATGACGGGCATTGGGGGTGAGGATCAGCCACTGACAGTCGGAACCTGCAAACACTGCAAGATTTCATCAAATGTAAACAATTACATAACGATGAAATAAGTCACAAATTACAAATAATTTCTTCAAACTTTTTACACATAATGCAAGTTAGTTATAACCGAAAACCATACACAGCGTAATTTAGATAAAAGGATCTAAATGTATTATTGTAAAGGATATAATGCCGTATACAGGACTTCAGTGCTCGCCCAACCATCTGCTTGGGCGATGAAGGAGAGAGTGACAAGTATGGCTGGTCACATGACTGTTTGCGCGGGGAAAGGGAGGTAACTCGTGGGTTAGTGAACTTTTACGTCCGCTTTAGGGAACTACAAGGGATTCAAGTGTTCCACTAACATTCGCTTAGAAAAAGGAGATAAGCAAAAGATCATGAGTCAGGATAAGGAAACATTATATGTATAATGTACAGCACGTGCCCATATTATTACGTACAATTGTAATGGCGTTGATATTGTGTATAGCTATGCCCGTTTTTAACATACTGCTACTCAAAAACGACACCACATATCGTCGTAATATTATGTCACGTGATCGACCATGATGTCATGTGTCTGTCACATGACTCTATTTTTAATCTATTTGTCATCTGCTACATATTCTGGCTATTTCGGCAACAATGGGGAATGTTCTAACATTGCAAGATTTATTGGAATGCCTCGAAGCAGCGTATATGCGGTGGTAAAGCGGTTGAATCGACGTGGATCAGTCGAGAATGCTCCCAGAACAGGAACGCGAAGTGCGGGACATCTGAGAAAATATTCCCCTCGATTTCATCAGAAATCTTTATTCATCGATTCCAAGGCGGATGTTGAAAATAATAAGGAACAAGGGACACATCACAAAATATTGAGGTAAGACTGTTTATATTTAACGAGTTATGACACTTTGAACTCCTGCGTAAATTTGTCGTCAACAATCGGTCCGCCATGTTTGTACGTAATAATATGGTCACCTGCTGTAGACTGAAATAGATTATACCTTAATTGTTTATTGCTGGTCACTGACCCCAATACCTCATAAAAAAGGGAATGGCAAAATGGGAACCTGTCCAAGTAAGGCATGGTGACAAGTCCCTAAACAAGGATTTACCTTGAATCTGGTAATGTGATGCAAATATTAAAATGATAAGATGATAAGGACACATGTGTCTGCAATACTTCTATCAGCCTGCTTGTCAGTTTCTGCTTGTTGGGATATTGTTGAAAATAATCATAATAACAGTAATCACACAGTAAAGTTTGGGCTAATTTACAGAATCTGTGTAGTTATTGGCCAAGAGCAGTTGATGTAGCAGGGCATAAGGTGACCCTACAGGTGAAATCTATACCTAGTCAGCTTGCTGATAGGGGTTAACATTCTGATCATGTTAACAAGATGTTTCACCATTGATAAGAAGATCTGTGCTTTGATTTCCATCAATGGACTTAAATTAATAACTGCAAAACTGGCACCAACATGTGCAATACATGTCTCAAGATCTATGATGCACCAATGGAGATGACTTGTGTAGGTTGGGGAACACCTACTGAGGCATGATGTCAAGACAGATGATATTTTCTTGTCAGGTTGCTGACATGTTGTACATCTGCCCATTTGGGCAAGAGATCCGATCTCGAATCAGAAGGTATATTCTGTCTAAAATGCAATGGGTTTTGTTTCTCCTGCGAAATATATAGTGCGATAGTGGCCAATCTACCAGTTCTTGTGTCTTCAAATTGATGACCAAATCAAACATGACAATTCACAATTTCTGTTTAATAGAGAACGTCGGAACAACATATATGTAAGAAGACCTAACCTCTTATCTTTTTCGCTGCTGAAAACTTTATGTACGATGCACCATCTGCCATAGCTGACATTTCCCCAAAATCGAGCCAGTCAGATTCATCGTCACTCTCATTTGCATCCGTGTCGCTGTCATCATTGTTTTCTTGGGGAAGAGCTACAACAAAGCCTCTGATCGTCGTAGATCCCCTTGTAGCTACTGCCATATTGCGATTTAAAGAGACATCTCACTTATCACGTTTAAGAATAGCGCCTTTGACTGCATTTGGTCGCCATCTTAGCCATTAAAACGTGGAAGGAATTAATATGCGGAACGAAACTAATCCGTAATAAAGTATTGAGTGAGTGTAGTTTAGTTTTACGCTGTACTCAGCAATATTCCAGCTATATGGCGGCAGTCTGTAAATAATTGAGTCTGGACCAGACAATCCAGTGATCAACAGCATGAGCCTCGAGCTACGTAATTGGGATACGATGACATGTGTCAACCAAGTCAGCGAGCCCGTATATAAAAAAGTATGAAGCATGTCTGGTTATTGTATGTATAGGATAGTATTTCTACAAACAAATCGGCATCATTATTACAACCAAGTGCCATGACTATAGCATATATTACTAAAATTGTGCTATAGTTATGCTATATGAATTTAAATTTATATAAAAATACCCCAACAAACTTGTTATATTGTTTCAGATGGGTGACCGAAGCAGGAGAGAGATCTCTGAGTTTGAGAAGGAGACCTCAACTTCATGACAGACAAGAACTTAGAACTACGCTGAGGCTGACATTGTGTTCGATGACGGTTTTCATCAGCTGACGAGAACTATCTTTGCTGAGTTATAATGATATATCTCCTCTTGTTTATCGTCTGCTCCCAAGCCGTTCCCGAACACATCTACAAGAACTGCAGGGTCCTCTCTAGCTCTACAGTCATTTCAACTTCGAAAGAAATTTGCGCATCATGCTGCGACGAATGTTTCCCCCCTACTACTCACCTCAGAGATTGCTTCTTTCACTTTACTCAGAGTATCTGGCGTCGCATACAGAAGGTCGGCCTGCAACAGAGTATTCCCAGGATGCAGAGATCAAGAAGCTTGACGACATGCTGTGGTACTTCCATTTGTTCCTATGGACAGAGTCGCAGATGTCTGGACCAAAAGTGTTGAAGATAGTACTTGGGTATAGAAGGTGACAGAATTGATGGAATGTTACGCCATCTCTCAATACTATTTAATTTTGATTTTGAAACAAACAATTCCTTTGAGACGGGAGATTCAGAACTGAACCAGAGGAAATCTAGGCTTGCTTCATTTAGGACTTTAGCACTGCAGAAAGGACTAGGCAGAAGGGAAAATAATGTGCTTTAGGGACCGTGAGACAGACAGTCCTCTTCCACGGAGAACCAGCATGTGCAGTCAGTGCCTGAAATCAACATTCATCAATTTGCTGGACACAGGGTGCCGTTGTACAAAGCGAACTTAAGGTTAAGGTGATCTTAACGCCCATACCTTGACATGGACTTACGACTGTCGTAGCTCTCTGGTTGTCTTGTAGTGCCCAGGGGCTCGTAACTCGAAGCAGTCGTTAGATTGTCTTTAATTAAGGCTAATCGTTAAGCATACATTATTTCAACGTTGTGTAACTCGAAGTAACCCATAAAGTTGGGACAATCCTTATAAGGCAAGTTAGCGACTGTGTTTAAAGTGTACCCCTGACCAACCTTTAAGCAGTCTTTAACTGGTCGTAATCCATATCAACGTATTAAAATGGCAATTTATCTCTATGTCAGAAATGGGAACAAACGAAAAATCCATAATGTCAACCGTGTATTCCACGACAGAAATAATCCGTTAGACACATTGAATGATGACGAAATACAGCAAGATTCAGACACAACAGATCACAGATTTTTTATCTGTGTGATTCAATCAGAGATGATGTTGCACGTCCTACATGTCGGTCAAATGCTCTAAGTGTATCACTACAGGTTGTGACAGCGCTTCGTTATTATGCAACTGGGAGTTTCTTGGCCGTTTGTGCAGATGTACAATGTTTGTCAAAAATGACAGTTTGAAGATGTGACCACGATGTCTCAACGTCATTGTGCAAACATGCCAATGAGTATTTTAATTTTCCCAAAACACAAGTTGAAAAACATAAAATGAACGCTGATTTCAACCAAATAGCTGATTTTCCAAATGTGCTTTGATCTATAGACGGTTCCATAATCCCAATCAAAGCGCCAACAAAAGATGAACATTTGTTTGTGTCTAGGAAAGGATGCCATGACATAAATGTTCAAACTGTGAATGGGGCGCAACTGCAAATCCCAAACATGTTTGAACAATGGCCTGGCAGCACTCACGATTCTCATATACTACCCATCAAAAGTTTAGACTCACCAGTGTAAATGTAGCCACTTACTTCAGTCAACTGTTCTAAACTAAATTTTGCAAAATATTCCACACTGATTGAGGGTGCTTGTTTACACATGAACTGATGTATTGCAAAACGAATTAGTAACGTTGAAAAAATTGTTGTCATGAGTTCAATAAATGATGACACTCAGTGAAAATTGACGAATTCTTAAAACTTTACACCAAAACGCAGCTGTTCACATGCACGATAATCATACATGCTTTTCAGCAATTTGATGCATGATACTCGTGCAGTTTACCTGCATAAATTTTGCAGTTGGTTCCCTCAACGTAGTGGAGAAATTCATCTTCGATGTAACCATCCATAACATATAGGGAGTGCTTTCAGTGAGTCTAAACTTTTTATGGGTAGTATATTTGGAATCTGTGCAACCTGAAGCATTCATTGTTGGTGGGAGATGGTTGGTTGCTAGGAGACAGTGGGTATGCATGTGCTCCATGGATGAGTGAGTGAGTGAGTTATTATTTAACGTCACATCGGCAATATTTCAGCCATATCGTGACGAGAACATATGTGACATTGAAATGGAGCTCCATGGATGACTCCTATTTTGAATCCTACCTGACCAAATGAACAACGGTATAACATCTCTCAGCGTAAAACCCGAAACACAAGTGAAAGGGCAATCGGTGTTTGGAAAATGAGATTTCGTTGTTTTAAAAAATCTGGAGGGTGCACCTTCAAAATGTTGCAACATAATAGTTGCAATGGCAAGGCTGCACAATATTTGCATCGTAATAGGCCTACAACTTCATGATGAACTGGGGCGGTGGGGTAGCCTAGTGGTTACAGCGTTCGCTCGTCACGCCGAAGGCCCGGGTTCGATTCCCCACATGGGTACAACTTGTGAAGCCCATTTCTGGTGTACCCCGCCGTGATATTGCTGGAATATTGCTAAAAGCGGCGTAAAACCATACTCAGTCAGGATAAACTTGATGACAATGAAGATGAAGATGATGATGACTTCTTAATTCGTGGAAATCAACAACAAATAAATGGTTTTGGAGTTAAAAACAATTTAATCGAAACGATATATTTTCAAGGAAATGAAAGTTCAACAGAAAAAGAGCAACGTGTAAAACAAAATTCAACATGTATAATCTTTGTAAATATTGCGAAACAACCTGCTTTCAAAATATTTCATTTGTCAATATATGGTTTTAACAGTTGAAAAATCTTTTCAAAACGGGAATCCCATTGTCTTTAACCTTGCCTTAAGCTGTCTATATTAAGGAACGTTTAATGATTGTTTAGCGAATGCTTTGTGATACACTACTTAATGTTTTCAACGACGTTACTAAAGCGTTCGTTAACCATGCGGTAGGAGCAGATTTAACGACTGCTTCGAGTTACGAGCCCCAGGCCAGGAAGCGAACGTAAGGTGCTATAAACACCTGCCTCCAATCTGTAAAAGATGGTGTCATGAACAATTTGTTGTCTTACTTCCAGTTCACCGACCATATATATATGTCTCCGAGCTGCTTCATCTTAACATGTAACATGTCAACTAGTGCTAGTGCTGAATAGATCAGATACTGAACAGCTGTCTTAATTTCCAAATGTAATTCTCAAACATATGAAATATCAAATTACATTTGCACATCAGAAATATGTTAAAATATATATTTACTTCCATTATGTACGTCATGTTTCATTATTATGTATTTTATTGGATCACGTCCAGGAAAAGTATCAGAATTTATTGTACGCATGTCAGTATTTCTTATTGATGTAATATTAACATATAGAATATTTGTTAAAATGCACATTCACTATTTTTTAAATGTGCATTCTGTTATCGAGATAAACTTGTCATTCTTTTCACCAAATCCTTTTATTCTGAAAATGCGTATGCTTACGTTATATTGTAAAATGGAGAAATTTTGATATAAATATTTCGATTTATTCATAGATCAAAGCCACTAAGGCTTTATGATATGGAATAGAATGAAACGAAGTGGATATCATTCCTAAATAAATAAATAAATGATTAAATATAATTTTCAGTAGACAATAGCTTTGGCCTGAATTTGTTGTTACCATTTGTTTTCAAGGTAAATTTCCAATTCTTTTTCGGATACAACTTTTCGAAACACCCCTTTGCCTGCACTGATGACTTACTCCCAGCGTCATTAGTAGTAATCGCATTAACGCCGAGACCCTCCACCTGAATAATACCTCTTGTATTAAACATTTGAATAACGGATAATTGAACCGTTTTCATCATGAAACGAATGCAGGCCTGCACGCAATGTACTGATTTATTTACTACCGTTGCTAGGTGATTGTGTCCGTACCTGCTCTCAAGTGATATCCGGTATACATAGTGCTCGTTTTGACTTGAATCAAGCTATTCAGCTTCTAGAAACACCGACCGCAGAACCAATCGAGCCAAGAAGTCTCAGGTAACCGACAAAGGTTTATTTCTCATGTGTCAATAGTCTGATTCGTGAGATGTGACATGATAATTAGATGTAAACGCCATTGTGTATTCGTATTGACATGTAAACAAATCTTTCACAAGCTAATAAGATAGAAGCGATGAAGAATCTCTCTCTTTCTGTCCAAGAATATTCTATTCATCACCTTCTCAGTACTCCACCCCTTCCATGAACAGTGTGCTGAAAGAATATGATGTTGGTTTAAACATGTGATGACGGATTTACTGGTATACAGGCTAACCATATAGTCATCTGTTAATAGATACACACAACAGACAGGTGATGAAGTGGTATGCTGTCACAGAAATTCTCATCACCTGTCATTTATAATGTCTCATTTGCCTTTACACCTTTGATTTTCCACACAATCAGAAATTATGTATTCTCCTGCTCAGATCAAGATGGTGAAACTACACATCAAGAAAGGTGATGACAGTCAGTTCCTGTACGACACAACCGTGAACATTCTCATCGATGACCTACTGAGAGATCTTACTGCAATCTACAATGGCAGGCTAAAAGTGATGAGAATATGTGCAGGTTAGCTATATCACACAGTTTGTCCATTATTCAGGATGGGTGTTACAATACTTGATAAAGAGTTTCTTTGAACTAGTTACCTTACTATATCTTTGTTCCTGACCCTACACATTTGACCTGAGTATGTAAAACACAATCAGCCACTGCCAAACCAAACAGTATTTATTAGTGAATTTTATAATTTTATGCTTAAGTTCTGCCTCCGTGGTGTAGTGGTTAGAGCGTCTGCCCGGAGAGCGGAAGGTCGCGGGTTCGATCCCCGACCGCGTCATACCAAAAGACATTAAAATATGGTACTTGTTGGTCCCTGCCTGGCGCTCGGCATTAATGGGTACAACAAGGACTGGTCGGCTCGTAGTCAGTATAATGTGTCTGAGTGGGGTATTCATGCTTCACTGCGGCATGGTATCTCAGTGGGCTAGCACTATAAAACCAGCTTCAGTCTGGGCTAGTACAAGCAGCCGCACATACACATACACACGCACGCGCGTCGTCATATGAGAGAAATATTCTCCAGCACGACGTTAAACCCAATTTCAACTCACCTCACCTCTGGGGATAAAAAAAAATGTACAGTGACTTGAAACAGACAGTTTTATGACCAGCTGCTATGAATGTTCACTGATAAATTCGTTTCAAATCATGCTTGTTTATTTGACTCAATCATCAGCACTTCACAGACTAGTGTTCACAAATGTTCCTTCAACACCTTGGAATTCATTAGGTGAATATGTAATGTAAGGTGGAAGCGATGGGCATCTAATTTTGGTCAGCTAATGAAATATGGTCATGCATAACTCATGAGGTCAAATTAACCTTCCTCAGAATGAACTTTGTGTAGAGCCAACCATTGCCTGACATTGCAGCTATGTGTAGGACCTATTCTACAAAGCTATAACTCATGATTAACAAAATGCCAAGTTAGAGTAGATATGTTATTGTTTGTGTTTTCGTGTATCAGTTTGTGTCTGACATTGCTTGCTTTCAGTTTATATATCATATTGATAATTACAGCCCTATTTTATACTGGTAGATACTTTCAGTTGATTTTTATCATGAGGTTTCGTCAATTTATTTTGTTTGATCACAGTTGTTAATGAAGAAGAAACACTTTATGGATAATAACTTCTTTAGTATATTATACTAGTATAGAAACATAACTGTATAAATCCTTGGACTGTTGTGAAGCAAGATTGCTGGATAAGTTTTACTTGGTGCATGAACCTATACAGAAACATTGTCCTAAAAGTAAATTGAAGAAGTTCCTGTCCATAAATTTGACCTACTCTGTGATCTGTCAGCTCTAAGTAATGCCTACCAAATCATACAGTCTGATGAAGTATATGTGTATATTGTACAGAGATGGAGGAGTTGGCCAAGTTTGGCATCACGTTGCCTCCAAACATGCAGGGGCTAACAGAGGAACAGGTCATTGACCTGAAGCTGGTGGACGAGTGGGCAGAGAAATGTACACCAAGTGGGGGATACAAGATGAAGAAAGATGAGATTGGACGAAGGAATGGCAGAGGTAGGATGCAGGAAATATATCTTCTTTATCTCTTGTTTGTTTTCAAGAGAAGCTGGAAAAAAAATAAATTATTCAGTTGTTTTCATAGAACTATCAAGCTCGATGCTCCAATATTTTTTGTTGGAATTAAATGGCAATGTGTAAAGGAAGAACAACTTAATTATTACATATTCTTCTGACTGTATGTTGCATGACAAAACCAATCTCGGGACATAATTCTTTGTTTTGCAGCATCATACCCATGTTTGGTACTTCTAAGACTTTTATCCCTTTAGGTTTTCCTCTCACACTGAAGCAGCATACCGTGAAACTTGTATTGACATTAGTTGAAATTTTGACTTCCCACAAGTTTAGACTGTTGACTTAGATTGATTGTTGATTTGTTTCAGCCCCCACTGACCAAATGGCAGAAGTTATCAAGAAAACGGTAAAGGAGGCCAAGGATCTGATCTCGAAGGTAATGTTGAGTGTAAATCTTCTCTCCCATATTGCCTCCATGGTCTAGTGTATAGAGCTTCTTTCCATACAGTGGAAGGCTTGATGTTCAATCTCCAAGTGCATTATTCCATAAGATGTTAGATGGTACTATATAGACAAACTTTATGATAGCAACTTCTTTATTTCATGAATATCCATAAAGTTTGTCTATATTGTACTTCCCAAGTTCTAAAATGTCACTCAGAGATGTTAGATGGTTGTTTACCTGTCTGCTGGTCTGCATTAAGCATGGGAGTAAAACAAAGACTGGTCCGTATACTGTCTGAGAGGTGTATCTGTATGAAGCTGAGAGGGGTACCCTAATAAAACCGTCATTAGACTTGACTGGTACAAGCATGAGCATGCACACTGTCAAAGTGAAATAATTTTAAATGAGACATTAAACCTCAAAGTCATGCTTTGATATGTAAAGTCTCTGTGGCATAGCTTTGATATTTAAAGTCTCTGTGGCATCTGTGGTATAGCTTTGATACTTGCAGTATCCATGGCATCTGTGGTATCCCCTTTGATATATTGCTGGTATCCATGATATCTGTTGTATAGCTTTCAGTCTTGCAGTATCCATGATATCTGTGGCATAGCTTTGATACTTGCAGTATCCATGATATCTGTGGTATAGCTTTGATACTTGCAGTATCCATGGCATCTGTGGTATAGCTTTGATACTTGCAGTATCCATAGCATCTGTGGTATAGCTTTGATACTTGCAGTATCCATGATATCTGTGGTATAGCTTTGATACTTGCAGTATCCATAGCATCTGTGGTATAGCTTTGATACTTGCAGTATCCATGATATCTGTGGTATAGCTTTGATACTTGCAGTATCCATGATATCTGTGGTATAGCTTTGATACTTGCAGTATCCATGCATCTGTGGTATAGCTTTGATACTTGCAGTATCCATGATATCTGTGGTATAGTTTTGATACTTGCAGTATCCATAGCATCTGTGGTATGGCTTTGATACTTGCAGTATCCATGATATCTGTGGTATAGCTTTGATACTTGCAGTATCCATATCCCTGCATCTGTGGTATAGCTTTGATACTTGAAGTATCCATGATATGTGGCATAGCTTTGATACTTGCAGTATCCATGATATCTGTGGTATAGCTTTGATACTTGCAGTATCCATGATATCTGTGGTATAGCTTTGATACTTGCAGTATCCATAGCATCTATGGTGGTATGGCTTTGATACTTGCAGTATCCATGATATCTGTGGTATAGCTTTGATACTTGCAGTATCCATAGCAGTATCCATAGCATCTGTGGTATAGCTTTGATACTTGCAGTATCCATGATATCTGTGGTATAGCTTTGATACTTGCAGTATCCATAGCATCTGTGGTATAGCTTTGATACTTGCAGTATCCATGTATCATGATATCTGTGGTATAGCTTTGATACTTGCAGTATCCATCCATGACATCATCTTTGTGGCATAGATATTTGATAGCTTTGAAGTATCCATGATATCTGTGGTATAGCTTTGATACTTGCAGTATCCATAGCATCTGTGGTATAGCTTTGATACTTGCAGTATCCATGACATCTTTGGTATAGTTTTGATACTTGCAGTATCCATGCATCTGTGGTATAGCTTTGATACTTGCAGTATCCATGACATCTGTATGGTATAGCTTTGATACTTGCAGTATCCATGACATCTGTGGTATAGCTTCATAGCTTGCAGTATCCATAGCATCTGTGGTATAGCTTTGATACTTGCAGTATCCATGTTATCTGTGGCATAGCTTTGATACTTGCAGTATCCATGATATCTGTGGTATAGCTTTGATACTTGCAGTATCCATGATATCTGTGGTATAGCTTTGATACTTGCAGTATCCATGAGCATCTGTGGTATAGCTTTGATACTTGCAGTATCCATGATATCTGTGGTATAGCTTTGATACTTGCAGTATCCATGACATCTGTGGTATAGCTTTGATACTTGCAGTATCCATGAGCATCTGTGGTATAGCTTTGATACTTGCAGTATCCATGATATCTGTGGTATAGCTTTGATACTTGCAGTATCCATGACATCTGTGGTATAGCTTTGATACTTGCAGTATCCATGACATCTGTGGTATAGCTTTGATACTTGCAGTATCCATGACATATGTGGTATAGCTTTGATACTTGCAGTATCCATGATATCTGTGGTATAGCTTTGATACTTGCAGTATCCATGACATCTGTGGTATAGCTTTGATGCTTGCAGTATCCATGACATCTGTGGTATAGCTTTGCTACTTTGCTACTTGCAGCAGATATGGTACAACATTGATAAAAGTGTCTGTAATATAGTTTTGATACTTTCATATCAATGTTGAATCAGCTATTCACTTCTCTAAACTGTGCATGTGCTGTGTTCAGGAGAAGGTGAAGGCCAATGTGGAGGTGAACCAGGGGTCAGTGAAGGAGGCGCTGGACATGCTGCGTGGGGCAGTGATGATCGTGTACCCCATGGGACTGCCACCCCACGACCCCATCCGGGACGAGTTTGAAAACACAGAGGATCTCACAGGAACTCAGGTTTGTGTGACAGGACAGTCTCTCCTTGTGTCTCGTGTCCTTTCCAGCAACACATTCCCTAGGGTCATCAAGAACTGGACACTGAGTATTGACCATCTTGGAATACTAACACTTGATGTCCCTGTTGTCCGAGACAGGTGCCCACACTGTTAACCTCTGTGGATGTAATGTTGTTATATTATTGTGGACTTTGACTTAAACTACCTTTACTTATGTATAAACTGTGTCTGTGAGGGGTGGTGGTACAAGTGGTTAAAGCATCCGCTTGTCACGCCGAAGACTTGGGTTCGATTCCCCACATGGGTACGATGTGTGAAGGTGTCTGGTGTGATATTGCAGGAATATTGCTAAAAGCGGTGTAAAACTAAGTATAAACTCACTCACTCACTGATTATTAGTACATTTCAGTTGAATTACACTGTTGAATATACAGTGGCCAGTCTGAAGTCATGCAGCAAAGATAATGTTGTTTATGGGGAACTGTATTGTCAGCTGACTGATCGAGTATTTCATCACAGTGTCTTTTGATACCAAATCTGAACATGAGTTGATAAAAGTTTTACAGTTGAGATTCTGTTTATCATCCCAAACCATTCTTCCAACTATTTCAGTCTGTAAACAGTGTAAACCAGTGTCTAAAGTGTAAAACATTTTGTTAAACCAGCCTTTAAAACCTCATAGTAACCAATGACATCTAATAGTCTACATAGTATTTCTTCTTAAATGAATCACAATAAAATATTTGTTGTTTTTTCCATATCATATGAATATTTTGTCATCCCATTTGTGAATAAGTTGTGATTGTGTGTTCAATTTCTCTGTTTACTTCCTATACACAGGCCTCCCTGGAAGTGATAGATGAGGCAAGTGCTTCCCTCTGGTGGGCAGGGAAGGAGTTTACAAGGGGGAAGAAACTCATGGACTTCGTTGGCAAGAATGAGAAGACAAAAATAGTTGCCAAATTGCAGAAGGTGGGACATATCTATTATAACAGTTTGGAAGTCAGTTTTCATGATTGTGTGCCCTGATGTACCTTTATATGAGGGAAGATCTTGATACCAGGGATTGGGAAAGGCAGGGGCCACGGGCTATTTTGCACATTAGAATAAAAAATGGCCCATTAAAATTTTGAAGGTTACTATTGATACAAGGGCAGTGGCCCATTCTAAGTTCAACAAATGGCAAATAATCCTGAAAATGGCCCATTGTCAAAGTTCCCTATCCCAATCCCTGTTGATACTGTTATAAGGTGACTACCTAATTGAAATGTATAGTTTAACCCAGAAATTGGTACTAAAGTCAGTACATGATCTACATCACTACACAAGATTTATGAATGAAGGCCATCTTGCCTCTTGACATTTTACCTACACTTCAATCATTTACTGCCACTGACAAACCCTATAAATAAACTTACAACAGTCTCTCCTGTGACATTGCAATAGATAGCATTAGATACCACATCGTTAAACTGCTTGTGTTTAACAGTGAGTGTACCAGGTGTGTGGTTGTGTTACAGCGTGGCCAGGGGGCGCCAGGACGGGAGCCGGTGGTTGGGGAGGAGGAACAGAAGCAGATGATGGCATTTTACTACCGGAAACAGGAAGAGTGGAAGGTAACATGTCTTTCTACCCATGTGGGGATTCCAGGTCAGAATACTGACGTGAATCAATTGGTGTTTCTCTGATCTCTCATATGTTACCATAGAAGCAGTCAGGAGTTTCTCCCTTTCTGTCATGCAACCTTCCCAAAATGATTCACTATGGTGAGACTCTCAGCTCTATCAGGGTTAAAATACAGGAGGTCCCACAGTTGTATTTTAAATTATCATTTGTTATTTGATTACAGAAAATGGATGCAGATGCAGAGGATGCATACATGGATTCAGCCTGGGCTGACAACAAGCAGCTGAAGAGACAGTTCCAGGGAATGAATAACATCAAGTGGGGTCCCCGGTGAAATGACCTTGGGGTCATGAGGTGGGGTCCGACATGGGCCCACTATGTGGTGGACTCAGGGTCAAGGGAGGGATGTCATGGACAGAACAAAGACTCTAAACAGGATACCAAAGTTTCGATTGCGGTGGATGAATATGGCATGGATGGCATGTACTGACAACAGACCTTACTTCTCAGTGGTGAAGATATAATGTGTCTATGTGATATTCTGACGACAGGTAAATGTGCACTAAGTGTCATGCTGCAAGTGTGATGAAATATTGGAGTATCTGGAGATGTATGAATTGAGATGTTTAGATATTATATTGTCAAGTTGTTGCTGGATTGCTTCCATGAACTCCTTACAACAATGACTGGTGCAAGTGTTGGTGTGTTTGTTTGGTGTTTCATGGTCGTTGAGACTGGAAGAGTCAGTGAGTTGTCTCCCCTTGGGTCAGGGACCTGTTCAGCATTATATCTACATGCACATCATCAGAATATTAATATGTTAATGTATGAATGTGAATGACCATTGAGTCCTTATGGTGGGGGTTGAGGTCAGGACAGGTTGGTACAGCACTGTGTCAGCCTAGTAGTCTTGTAAGCTCAGCTACTACTTGGCCACATAGTAATACAAAGTCCTACTGAAAATGATCCAGGCTGTGCTAGTAGACGCATGATACATTACCTGTGACATTATTCATTTCACAATCCAGCATGATATCATAATCACCATTAATATGGAAGATTATATATAATATGTCATGAGCTATAGTCATAGCAATATTAACCCTACCTTTCATAAACCATGTTGACAGATGTATCATCCCTACAATCATGGTAATGTCTTCATTGTAGTTCATCATCGTCGGTTTATGTTGAGCATTGTTTAAGAGTTTGGGTGAGTTTCAGACATTCCACTCACACCGTTACTTCAGCACACACGTCAGTGTGTCTTGTTAGTGTGTCCGTGTGTGTACAAGTAGCATTGTATTTGTTCACCGTTATTAGTTCATGTGTTCTTTATCTTGCATGCTTCAGCTGTCATGTCTGTATATACAACGTCTGTAATTATGAACTTTTATACAAAATCGTCCGTCCAGAATTTTATAATAGGATCCATGAAAAAAGTATGTATTAAAGTGAAATATAATGCATCAGTGTTTATGTTGTCCTATTTTCTGGATGAGTGAGTTAAAGGAAGGGGAGAGGAAGGACGAGAGAGGTATGATGCAGGTACACCTACACTGACATACTAACATGGGAGGTGAACCTTGGTCACACATACACTTTAACATATGTTATATCTGGGATTACACTTTCTTAGTAAAGAACAAATTCTAGTACTTTTGGGGTTGAGTCCAATCCGGGATTCGAACCCACAGTCTCAGAGTCAGGCACCTAATCGCCAGCACACAAAGACTACCAGTTGTTCGAAGTCGTGGTGGCTGAGCGGGTCAGGCGGCTGACTTTGTGTGCTGGCGATTAGGTATCTTACTCTGAGACTGTGGGTTCGAATCCTGGATGGGACTCAACCCCAAAAGTACTAGAATTTGTTCTTTACTAAGAAAGTGTAATCCCAGATATAACATATGTTACATTTGACCACTTTCTAAATGGCATTGTGTAATCATAGCAAACATACACTGTCTGAAGGACTCTGATGTCTCCCTCACTTCATGCTTGTTGAAAGAGTAAATTGAAATGAGGGATTCATTTGTCGCGATTACCTTAGAGGTGACCTGTCTTGTTGCCGTCACCCAATGGAGTGATGTTGCACAATCAACCATTGGTTTAGACTAGCTGCACAAACACTTTTGGTCAGTGAAGAACATCAGTATATAAACTGTGACTCTACCAGCATACTGTAGTTGTTATATAGCTAGAACACTGCAGTTATTTATGTTGTTGATGTTACACCAGAGGACCCCAGGAACCCTTGTCATACAAGGTATCCACAACTGGGTTGGGTTGTCAGTCTGGTGATGTCATTGATTGCATGTTATCACACGCTAACAGCACTTGAGGGTCTGGCCCAGACTTGATTATTTACAAGCTGTCATCGTATAGCTGGAGGTGAGGTGAAATTGGGTTTATCGTCGTGCTTGAGAATATTTCGCTCATATGACGACGTGCATGCGTGTGTATGTGTATGTGCGGCTGCTTGTACTAGCCCAGACTGAAGCTGGTTTTATAGTGCTAGCCCACTGAGATACCATGCCACAGTGAAGCATGAATACCCCACTCAGACACATTATACTGACTCCGAGCCGACCAGTTCTTGTTGTACCCATTAATGCCCAGTGCCAGGAAGGGACCAACAAGTACCATATTTTAACGTCTTTTGGTATGACGCGGTCGGGGATCGAACCCGCGACCTTCCGCTCTCCGGCCGGATGCTTTAACCACTACACCATAGAGGCGGTTCGTATAGCTTGAGTAGTGACGAGTGTGGTATAATTTCCCGAACAAAATCATGCTGCTGAGATAATTGACTGCATCAAAAATCCCAACCTTGAACCCTTTCTGTCTAATCAACCCTTTGGTCTCGTCCCGTGGTTCTAGTGATCTCAAATTACCCTTTGTCTTCAGTAGCCAATTTGATCTGGTACACTACTAAATGGCCGATCAGAATACAGGTTACAAACCAGCCTTGGTGTTCAACTGGTGATATCAACATCATGGCCTCCAAGTCCATGATTATGTTAGATATTGTGAGAAATTCATCATTGAGAAACTATCTGTTTGATTCGAAACAATGTCTGCATGTTCTTTGAAAATGGTGGTGTCAAGTCCTCTTGTACCTGTTTCCTTTCTCTATGGAGATATAGAACTCACTATAAACATGAGACCCTTCTACAGAAAGTTGCTGCCATTTTGTTGAAATATTTGAGTGCGGTATTAAACTAAACTCACTTACTATAGAAAGTTAACATGAATTCGCTGAGACACAATGACATGAAACAGACACAGAGCATGGAACATTTATTCTGTACAAAAAATATACAAACCAGAGTTGTACATGACATTGTGTGTATATACATCCAACACGTAGCACAGCGTCACACAACACCAACCACAGTTGGTTGACGGCAGCTCGACGAGTTCTAACTGTCACATCACAAGTGGTTATCAGGAAATATACGATTAACTTAAACATGAATAACGTAAATAATGTACATAAGTGAAATACAAACATTCTCAACTTTCTTTCAGTTAATAAATTTATGCAGTTTTGTCTTAAAAGTGTATTTGTTCTCAAACAGAGTATAAATATGTGCAAAATAAAACATCTGTTTCAATAAATATATTTGGCAATACGTACAATTTCCAATTAAAAAGTAGAAATTTTCGATGTGCACAATGTTTACAGTGTAAAAATATACAATGCATAAACTAGTACAGCAGACAGGGTAGAAGGGTTCAAGCTTATCAAACACTGAAACACTGTTCATAGTAGTAGAACATAGACTTACATAAACAGTACCTAGCCTCAGGTATTAACACACCTGTAGGTAATCAAGTCTCCGATTCCATGGAATTAGAATGAAGACGAGGTACATTACCTTTTATTATTATTAATGTTCAGATTTTTACAGCAGACTTTTTAAGATGTCCGACAACAAACAAGATGGCTTTAATGAAGAAAGTACAGTTGGTGAAAAATATAGGTTCTGCTTCATGATGTCAAGTAAAAACAGCAAAATTGCTTGAAAACATAATGTAGTTTCCAATTTAGTTTCAATGAATAGGTTTCATTACATTTGGGATTAAAAATATGGTGACCTGAAAACCAGGAAGTGAAAAGCATAGAGATTACACAGTTAAGATGAGGATGTGTGTATATAATGCTACATCACTATGATGGATGATAGATAGCCAGGAAAGCAGATGCAGTAAGTTTACTGATGGGCTTGGTTATATGTACGAGTACATTTGACCCAAATGATCAACCACAGCTACACTATTCCTTATGCTGGGTATACTCATGGTATTAAATAAGGGAATGGAAAATATTCTTTCTTTCCACACATCAAAATGATTCTCTAAACTCAGTTTATCCCTTTAATAATTCTATTATCGGAATATTTACAGTCCCATCCCTGTAGACTCCCACTGTACAACACATCTTCAGTATCGTCAAGGATACATGTAAACACATACACTGACAAGAACACTTGGTGGATCCTTCAACACAATACATATGATTATTAAATATTACTATGTATGAGTTATAGTGATCTTCATGTGAGATATATGTATATATACTTCTTTCAGTAAAAATGCTGAATTGCATTAATCATAATCAGTGTGAAAAAAATCCAGCCCAATATTCTGCCAATCGGGTAAAATACTGTTGATGCTAGCCCTTTGATTTGCCATTCTACAGTGTTCTTGTATATGGAATATGCTTATACAATCTCAAAACGTGGTATATATCCTGACAATAAATCTTGTTTCTGCTGCCGGAGTTCAGAGACAAACAGTATACCACTGTCACGACTAGTTGCAATAGTTTGCATTTTGTTAGTCTGGAAACCTTACGATCTGGACAATTTATGTTGGGGATGATTATATCCATTAAAAGATATTACTATTGAACCATTATTTATTCACCCACCATTGATTAATATGAGTGAGTTCACTTGGAACTGGTGTTGGGAATTGGTTGAAATCTCACAATTGATGATTGCTTCATTACCAATGAACAATCATCGAAAAAAATTGGTTAGCATCATTTTTCAGATTTTCCTATCCAGGTTGTTACTGCAGAAAAGTATAACATGTTGCTACTTACTACATTAAAGTGATGACTAATATATCATGAACATAAACTTCCTGGAGTCTTAGAGAAATATTTAGTCATGACTTTTCAGTTAGTGGAGTGAGTTTTCTAAGAAATAAACATGTTGTCAGGCACTGACAACTTCTAAGATATGTTCCATTGTCAAGTATTTCAAAGACTAAAACAGTAGTTCCAAAATCGTTTATGTTCGATTATGAGAAAATGTGATCGATTGCTTGGTCATTTGGTCACTGCGACCAATCTTCGATTATTTCAATTCATCAGACCACCACTACTGGGAACAGTATCGCCTGGATTACAGGGTTACACAATATAGAGGGGTTCTATGAAAGCTTTGCCATACCTAGTACATAGTATATAGCAGTTTATCTTGATAGATATCAGAACACTTAACTTCACTGAAGCTGAAAGTTTATATGAAGCAGCTTCATGACCTAATGCACAAGGGCCCTGTCACACATACACCTTCACTTCTATCAATAACATTGTGTAAATGAGAACAAACTTGTCTTCAAGACATCTGGAGGATATCTGATCAGAGATTTTTTTCAATCTTGTTATTAATTGTTTTCTTTTACACTTGAATGGATAAATCTGAATATAAATGCGACGTGTGTCTCTTGTAGACACAACATACGAGGTAAGCAGGAGGGAGACTGGGCACAGATTATTGCTTAGTTCTAGCTTGATTGAAGTTTTTGATTTTCTGTTGTCACATTGTGTATCCTACCCAGCAATTAATGACTGCCCTAATTTACACAGAGACCATGTGTTTAACACCTACCAACAGCCCTTAGACACAGATTGAAGGGACTCTGGGCTGGGGGGAAGGATTTCACCCGAACAATTATTGTCAATACTTGAGAAGTTTATATATAAACTTTTTGCAATGTAGTCAGTAGAGAACCAGAGAGTACTCTGGCCACTGAAAACAGAACAGTAGTACATCACATGCATGACAATGTTTCCTATGCAACATGTGCCCCAGCCTGGTTGCCAACTATATCAGGCAAAGATAGTAGTAAAATTTATTGTAGGGCTTCTTTGACTTATATGTGTTACACTCCACATCATATCATTACTTCACTGGAGGACCGCCTCCGTGGTGTAGTGGTTAGAGCATCCGACCGACATGTATTTCATAATTCTCCATAACATTTATTTGTAGTGGTTTGTTACTGATGAAAATAGAAACTTGAATCTATATGTGGTCAGGTTTGACTAGAATTATTGTTGAAGAAAGAAAACACAAGAATGCATGAATTCAAGTTCTATAAAAACAACAGTAACAGACATTTGATGAAGTGAGTTAATGAATAGATACACATGAGAGCAGATAGGAATCTGACGAAAACAGACTTACCCCTATAGGCTTTATGGTGGAACTTTGAGTCCTCCTCTGTGTTCTATGGTTTATAATCTCAAGGCTACTCTCATTTATACCAGTAATGTTCATTTATTGGACTGAAACCTTTCATTTACAGTTTTGTGGCACAATATCCATTTAAAGTTTATCTTTTGTTCTTAGAGGCCACAGAAGAGAATTTTTCAAGAAATTCTGTTTTGAAAAGTATATTTTGATTGGCAGTAGTGTTTGTGTATGACACCATTGGTTCAACTCCGGTGCATTATAATTGTGTCAAGAAATTCTGTTTTGAAAAGTATATTTTGATTGGCAGTAGGGTTTGTGTATGACACCATTGGTTCAACTCCGGTGCATTATAATTGTGTCAGTCAGACATGAGGATGGGCTGCTATCAGTACACATGTACCAATCAAGGTTTATAACTGATCAACACACAGACTTGTTATATGGCTTTGTTCTGGGCTCTAGTTTAAGTAAAGAAGATGTAGATGATAGTGAACACACTGCAGCACAATGAACACATGAGAATATTGTGATAATGGTACAATACACAAGTGCTGGGAGATATTCCATATAATCACCTCTTTCCTCTAAATGTATTCCTCTCAGTGGGCTGTAGACGTTGAATGAGCAGAGACTCTTCAATGGGAGAAAGGTGGGGTATATTTATATGGAAACTGGTCTGGTATTTGTTAAATTTGAAAGGCTGAAAATATATTTCAAAGTTTTTACACATTTAATATGGATCCTTATCATGATTGATGGTTTGGAATTCTCTTAACAAAAAATAGCTGTTAACACCGATTCTTTAAGCTAATGAACAAAATATAATGGATCTTGAGCGACATGCAAATCTCTGTATTGCATCTAATTTCAGCCTTAAGCAAGTCCAGTTGTAATTGTTTGCTTTTTCTCAATTTCTATCTCATTATTCGAAATGCAGGAAATGTCAGACATGATCTGAGGTTATTTTCTATAAATAAACATTAAGTAAAATTTATTTAATTTTAAATTAATATTCTATTTCACTAAGATTTACATTGCATCATTCTACCTCCTTGAATTCAATCTATCAATTTGATTGGCTGGGAGTAATTATATGAGACCCAAATGTCAAATTTATTCAGCTTTGTAGTGCTTCTTGTCTCATTTATAAAGAATCATCTGAATGGTTTTACAGGTGATACAAATGTATATATTTGACGGATTACGGAAGAAAGTGCCGTGCACAGCTCAGACGTTTTGGACCAAGATGGCTGTTTCCAACCAGTGGCAAGGACAATCTAGGCACTCAATGGCAGGGTGCATGCATATAAATGCCGAAAAACCTGAGATTGCAAACACATCAGCATTTCCTTAAAAACTAGCATACCATAAAACTTTGGCAAAATGGTTACACACAAATATCTGTGCTTGAGCATTTCGTTAATTTCCACAGTAACTAACCATCATAATTTGAGAGGCGTAAATTATGAATCACGTGGTTCGAAGACTCAACAGTCACATAAAAACTGATGAGGATGGATGCAGATTTTCACAAACAAGATAATCACTGGATACAATGAGTGCACACACAGAATATCGGAATGCTAAAACACTTCCATATCAAAATGTACTCAGAAAATATGGCTGACATTCAACCTTGTGTACAGACAATTAAATCAACCTCCACGACAATAACAACAGAACTGAAGTGAAATAAAGAAATAGACATTGTGAATAGACAGTGCAGATATTTAATTTGTAAATATATTATGCAATACTACAGATCTTTGACGTCAATATTCAGTATGCTGATATATAGAGACTAATATGAACAGTCTAAGGGAGAGAACTCTGATGTGACCAGCACATGCTTTTGTCAAATATTTGAGGTAAAGCTACACAGGTTTAATACATGTGACCAACAAATGGCTAATAAGTGATAGGGTGGACTTTTCAGCAGACAAAATGTCCTTGCAGTCAGTCAAGTAATTCTCATTGTAAATTTAGATGTGTTGCAGTTTTTATTATTACACATATTTTTCAATAAAGCTTGCAAAAGAAATGCTAAAAATGTTCAACTTTCTCTCAGATTTTGATGTGATTTTATTGAACTTTCAAATAAATACTTGTTAAATATCACAAATCTGTGTCAAAGGGAAGTTGCATATTCTATAAACTGTTGAAATAGAATGAAATGATATTCGTTGCTAAAATAACAGTTCATGACACTGGAATAGAAACGGTTGCTTAGATTGAACTTCAGAGTATGCCCTATAGTTACAGGAAATGGTCAGATCAATGTTGGAATATATCATATATTAAAATTTATAAATTTTATCAAAATGTTTACAAAACATTTATCACAGGGGGAAGCCATTGGTTAACACTAATATCATGACTGACAGTAGCACAACGGACCAATGAGCAGAGCAAACATCACCAGCTGCAGGTGGACCAGCTAGAAGTCTTCTCAGAAACAACACTCATGCCATAAATAATATATTTGATCATAGCTGTTGACTATTTGATACATGTGAGAGGGCTCTGGGCTATCTATCCCCAAAATAATTTTTTTAACATTTTACAAAAATATTCATGATTATTATTGTTATTTATATCATCATCTATAATGAACATGTTACATGTTCTCGAAGGTAATTAAAATATATATGGCCTCTCAATTCAGAGGCAAAAAATGTGCTGAAGTGCTGACTAAAACCAAATAATGTTGTGACTATAAAATTCCCAGGCCTCCCAAGAACATCAAATAGTCAATCTCTCATGACACCTCTGCCTGTTGGCTTAAAATATTAATATGGAGTGGGGTAGCGGCGGTTAAAGTGCTTGCTCATCACGCCAAAGACCCGGGTTTGATTCCCTACATGGGTACAATGAGTGAAGCCCATTTCAGGTGTCCCCTGCTGTGATATTGCTGGAATATTGCTGAAAGCGGCGTAAAACCATATTCACTCACTGCAGTTAGCCTTAGCTTTGGTAAAGAGTAGGAAAGAAAAATGGATGTAAACGTCACCTTAAGGTGTTTGGTGCAAAAATGTTAATAAACATTTAGACATGATTGCTGCAAGCAGACTTGATTGAACTGTGAGAATTGTTTCTGCTTACTTTTAACTCTCACACATTGGGTTTCATTGTCCGCTTCGTGAGAGCTAACATCCTGTGTCTGTTTTCCAGTGTCCATTGTTAGATATAGCTTCAGTCGATGGCTTAAGTTTTCTTGTAACAGATCAACTTGTTCGGTATGTCACATTTCAGCTCAGGATTTGTAAGGGCTTTAATTGTAATGTGGAAGTTCCATAACGGTCCTGATTACACTGACTTGAACATCTTGGTGCATCCTCTTCTATTTCCCCCAATATGTTTGTCACACTCCATATGTGGGTTACACACAATCACCTCATTATGTACACATTTCAACAGCACTGTTATTGCCCGTACTAATATTGTCACTAGGGGTTAATGTACAACTTGAAAGTTGTATCAAAAAGAACTTTTGTGAAAATGCACAAAAATATCTTCTTTTTCTTCTCACAAATATCTCCATAACAATTGCACTTGCACATCACAACCACATAACAAGGGGAGATGACCTTGTTTCAAGGGAGGTAACTCTCAACTATCACAAATCCTTTGGTTACCGCCATGGCACACATTTGCACTAGAATGTTGGAATATTTCAGCCGTAATAATTACTTAAACTTCTTGTTCCTGTGTCATTTCGTAATGTGCCACGAGGGCTAAATCGAACAAGTACAACTTCGATACGGTCTATAGATTCTGCCCGTTCTATTGATGAAGCCTCCAAAGGATGATGATTGGAGGTGACATTATGACTATGAGTGGGTTCTGTAACGTCCAATTTGGCGCGCACATTGCGTTTATAATCACGTCCTATTTTGATGAGAATCACGGTGAGGAGAATGATGATCCCAACACAGACTCCGAGGACCAGATACAAAATAACCTTCTCAACATTCTCTGAAAAGACATCAATGTACAGGTTAATGAAAGGTCAAAGAAGATAATATTTGTAATATCATAATCTGATATTTATATCAAGAAATATTAATCATCAACTAGCATGAACTTTTGTCAGGACTGTGCAACATTAGACTTCTTCATGAGATCACACAATATTCTGACAGTGTAATGATTCATGTATAAATATTCTGAAGTATGGTACAGTTTCTGTATGCTTGTGTGTAGAATGGACTGGGTTAGAACTGGTCTTCAGCAACTAATGGAGATGACTAATGGTCAGACTTCGCTGACTTGGTTGATACATGTCATCGTATCTCAAATGCATAGATCGATGCTCATGATGTTGATCACTGGATCATCTGGTCCTGACTAGATTATTTACAGACCATCGTCATATAGTTGGAATATTGCTGAGTGTGGCGTTAAACAACAAACAAAAACCCAGAACTTGTGTGTAAAATGACTTACTGTTCAAAAAGTTGACAGCGTTGAGCCAGTTCATGAGAATCCCCATGGATCTATCTCTCTGTTGACCAGCAGGAACGGTGGTGTAGTTGTCGCAGGGGTTGGTGGTGGTGCCACTGCTGGCTTCAGTTGGCTTCGTCTTGTCTTTGATGGGCGTGTCCTTGTCAGGGTCGACAAAGCCTGGGTTATTGTCACCTGCCTTTTTGTTAGTGTTGACGGAGTTGGGGTCACCTTTGCCTGACTTCTTGTCAGATCCTGCAGCATCTGGAATACAGGTAATCATGTGGGTTATCCTGGAATACAGGTAAACATGTGGGTTATCCTGGAATACAGGTAAACATGTGGGTTATCCTGGAATACAGGTAAACATGTGGGTTATCCTGGAATACAGGTAAACATGTGGGTTATCCTGGTATACAGGTAATCATGTGGGTTATCCTGGAATACAGGTAAACATGTGGGTTATCCTGGAATACAGGTAAACATGTGGGTTATCCTGGAATACAGGTAATCATGTGGGTTATCCTGGAATACAGGTAAACATGTGGGTTATCCTGGTATACAGGTAATCATGTGGGTTATCCTGGAATACAGGTAAACATGTGGGTTATCCTGGAATACAGGTAAACATGTGGGTTATCCTGGAATACAGGTAAACATGTGGGTTAAACATGTGGGTTATCCTGGAATACAGGTAAACATGTGGGTTATCCTGGAATACAGGTAAACATGTGGGTTATCCTGGAATACAGGTAAACATGTGGGTTATCCTGGAATACAGGTAAACATGTGGGTTATCCTGGAATACAGGTAAACATGTGGGTTATCCTGGAATACAGGTAAACATGTGGGTTATCCTGGAATACAGGTAAACATGTGGGTTATCCTGGTATACAGACAAGGTGGTGGGTTATACAGAGTAACAGACATTTGATAGGTCATCCTGAATAACAGATAACATAGTGGGTTATCCCTGGTAACCTATATTGGGTTATCATGGGTAACAGATACAGTGATGGGTTATCCCAGGTAACAGATAAGAGGGTGGGTCAACCTGAGTGTACCTGAGTGAACCCAACCAAGTCAACCTGAGTGTACCTGAGTGAACTCAAGTCAACCTGAGTCAACCTGAATAAACCCAAGTCAACCGGAGTGTACCTGAGTGAACCCAAGTCAACCTGTGTGTACCTGAGTGAAATCAAGTTAACCTGAGTGAACCCAAGTCAACCTGAGTGTACCCGAGTGAACCCAAGTCAACCTGAGTGTACAAAAGTTAACCTGAGTGTACCTGAGTGAACCCAAGTCAACCTGAGTGTACCTGTGTGCACCTGAGTCAACCTGAGTGTACCTGAGTGAACCAAAGTTAACCTGAGTCAACCTGAGTGTACCTGAGTCAACCTGGGTCAACCTGAGTGAACCCAACCAAGTCAAATTGAGTGTACCTGAGTCAACCTGAGTGTACCTGAGTGTACCTGAGTGAATCTGCCACTGGGACGTACCTGCTGAAGCCTGCTCAGGCCTGACTGTGATCACCTTCCTGGATGTCTTGTATATTGGCGTGGATGTCTCACTGTTCTTGGTCAACACGCCGGCCTCGGTGCTGCTACTTCGCAGGGAATTCTTCCTGTCCTTCTTGTGATGCCGCCTCCTTTCTTTCCGGTGAGCTGCCTTAAATATTTTTTTAGGAACTGAAACAAAACATAAGCTAGTTACTTTAAAGACAACATAAGGAAACACTTTAAAAAAGAGTAGGGGAAAACCAGTGATTCTGAACTCTGCGGTCACCCACTGTCTGAAACAAAATCTAAAAAGGTAACATGTAGTTTGGTGAAATAACGTAAATAAAGTATTGGGAACAGATTTGTTTCAAAAGCATTCAAGTTGGTGTAAAATATCTAGAAAACTTTGTTCCATCATTGTATTCCAGTATACACCTCCAAACTGACAAATGACCTCAAGCCCCTGTAGGGCCCTCAGTTGTCAGGGCCCTGTTCCTCAAAGCGATCGTAGTGCTACGATAGTCGTAAGCATTAGTTAAAGTATGAGAGTTACGATCATCTTAGCGCTACGATCGCTTTGAGGAACGGGGCCCTGGTGACATTGGGGTGTCAGTGTCTAAGGTGCCACAGTTTGCTGTACAGAGTTGCATGCCTTACGTTTGCCAGGATCCTATGATCTCGAGTTCGAATCTGAAATCAGCCCGGATAATGATTCTAGTTTTGTCAGCACCCATACTCCTATTCAAGGATTTCACTAAAACAGCTAATATCTAAACATAAAAGATCAATGCAAAACAATACCCAGTTTTGACCATCCTCAGAAAGAGATTTGATTTTAATTAGACCTTAATTAATCCAGGCAATCCTCCTACGTTGCTGACAATACAGATTTAACCTAAACACTGTTCAAAGTGTTACACCCAACTCACTCACTCCACCATTGGTATGTTCCCACAATACAACAGCAAATTGGTAAGTCCTTGATGGCTCTACAGAACCTGCTCACACACTTGGCTGCAAAACTGCCTCCAATCACACCATGTCAGCCTCTCAATACTAGCTATCAAGCCATGTGGTTTACGCCACGCCGCGGCGCCAAGTGGTCATACAACAAGTGCCTTATGTTACAAGACCTTCTACCAAATTGGTGTTCCCGAAACAAGACACAAACACGCTGGCACCACACGTTACATCAACACGCAACAAATAACACCACAATGATATGGAATGTACCCAACACTCACTTTTCAGCTCCAAGCTCGGTCATCGTGATAGATGCACAAAATGGTGGTTGTCTTTTATCCGGGCAACACTTAGATAATACAATCATTACCATGCCAGTGGTGCAAACACCGGAACAAGACTGCCTCATTAATTCCAAATCGTAGCAGTCTGACCTAATTAAAGCAATTAACTGCACAGAGCAGATGACTCAACATATGCCAGCTTCAGTACCAGCAAGCTATGGTAGCCCTCCTAGTTCACTTCTAACTCCAACAATCAATAAAGTCACACTCACATATTTAGATTGCGGCTCCGTTTCAAGCCCTCCCTATGAGGATACAGCTGGGATAATCACTTAACTATCATGTATAACAACGTTACAAGAACACTCAGCTCATTTGCTGGTCAGATGCTTCCATATGATATAATATATATCAAATATCATATATAGCAGATACCATTCACATCATCTAATCATTTATCAATACATTTAAGATTGGAGAGATGAATTAGGCATTGAAACTTAAAAACGATCAACATTTGATCATCAACTTGTTTCATTATCAAAGAATGAATGAAAGGCATGAAATCTAACTGAAACAACATGAAAGGGGACTTAACGAAATATATAAAAGATTTGGTGATCAATTTTATCATGACCAAAAAGTTTAGAAAGAAACAAACCAAACTTGGTACCTAAGTCTCCTGATAGATCTGAGATTGAAAGGAGACCATAGAATATCACATACATGCAAACTTGATCATCATGACTGAGAAGTTCTTTGTATTGACGAATCAATCAAACAACACAATCAAAATATACCGGTTATTTCCTATACAAGATATACATTTTCGCTGAAGTTTCATATGATTATTAAAACATATTATGATTCACAAGAAAAGGAATGGTTACCCGTGGTTGTCCTGACTGTGGTATATTTCCCAGTGTCGGTGTGTGACGCAGCGGTCAAAGTGCTATATATACCGTATTACATGTGTGACACAAGGACATCCGGCCCTGTGGCAGTATAACTTCCTTTGGTGGCAGGAAATATGGCTATACGCAGTCTATGGAATCTCATACATTTCTGGTTACCAATGAGGGTTTTCCTGTCCTCATAAATAGCTTACGGTCTTTCTGTGGCAGATACATACATCACCGTGTACAACAAGCAGGAATTGTTCTCCACCTGTCAACAGTGTGGCGGTGGTGGAACATTTACATAATTGCTGGGTTCTGTGCCAGGAACCGGTGTGCTGCCATGATGAATGTCTTGTATGAATACGGTTTATAACATGAATGTGATAAACAGAACTGTTTGATGTCACTGGGTTTATAACATGCATGTGATAAAGAGAACTTTGTTTGATGTCACTGGGTGAATGTCTTGTATGAATACGGTTTATAACATGCATGTGATAAACAGAACTGTTTCATGTCACTGGGTGAATGTCTTGTATGAATACGGTTTATAACATGCATGTGATAAACAGAACTGTTTGATGTCACTGGGTGAATGTCTTGTATGAATACGGTTTATAACATGCATGTGATAAACAGAACTGTTTGATGTCACTGGGTGAATGTCTTGTATGAATATGGTTTATAACATGCATGTGATAAACAGAACTGTTTGATGTCACTGGGTGAATGTCTTGTATGAATACAGTGTATAACATGAATGTGATAAACAGAACTGTTTAATGTCACTGGGTGAATGTCTTGCATTAATGTTTATCATCAGGTGACAGCGTTAGCAGATTTGTATGGTGGTCTTGTATTAATCCTCAGGTGAAAGTGGATGTACCTATGTGACTTTTCAGGGTGAATCTTCCTACAATATAGACAACTTTTATGGATAGGAACTTCACAAAGTTTGTCTATATTGAACTTCCCAAATTCTAAAATGCCACTCAAAGAAGTGAATTTTCCTGCACGAATGTGTCACTGTTAAAAAGTCAGTCACACAAAGACCATTACCTTCCCCAACAATGCACAGATAGAGAATAGCTGACATAATGTCATTATTCACTCACTAACTCCTACACTCTACAATCATCCACCACCTATGACAGACTGACAAAAGCCATTATGTGCAAGTTGGCTGACATTTGTATGGTAAAACAGCACCTAACCCGGACTGTACATCGGGTTGAAAAAGGTCATGGGATAAACTGCCTTCTCCATTCAGATATTACTTTTAACATTTACATCAAAGGTGTGTAAAAATCAAATATGACAAACACTTTCTGGTGGATGGTGAAGGTTAACTGTACTTTCCTCATCATGCGAGTCGTGAAACAGATCAGTGGCAAACCTCGCTCATAACTGTATCAGCAACTCAGATTCCCCTAGCACAAAGCAGTCAACTGTCAGTGATGTCATCTAGGAGTGGTCAACTGTCAGTGATGTCATCTAGGAGTGGTCAACTGTCAGTGATGTCATCTAGGAGTGGTCTGTAATATCATCTGGAAGTGGTCAGTTGTTAGTATTGTCATCTGGAACAGGTCAACTCTAAGTGATGTCATCTGTGAGTGGTCTGTAATATCATCTGGAAGTGGTCAGCTGTCAGTGATGTCATCTGTGAGTGGTCAGCTGTTAGTAATGTCATCTGAGAGTGGTCAGCTGTCATGTCAGTGATGTCATCTGGGAGTGGTCAGCTGTTAGTAATGTCATCTGAGAGTGGTCAGCTGTCAGTGTTGTCATCTGGGACAGGTCAACTGTTAGTAATGCCATCTGGAAGTGGTCATCTGTCAGTGGTCAACTATGAGTGATGTCATCTGTGAGTGGTCAGCTGTTAGTAATGTCATCTGGGAGTGGTCAGCTGTCAGTGATGTCATCTGGGAGTGGTCAGCTGTCAGTGATGTCATCTGGGAGTGGTCAGCTGTCAGTGATGTCATCTGGGAGTGGTCAGCTGGCAGTAATGTCATCTCGGAGTGGTCAGCTGTCAGTGGTCAACCATGAGTGATGTCATCTGTGGTCAACTGTTAGTAATGTCATCTGAGAGTGGTCAGCTGTCAGTGATGTCATCTGGGAGTGGTCAACTATGAGTGATGTCATCTGTCAGTGGTCAACTAGAGTGATGTCATCTGGGAGTGGTCAGCTGTCAGTGATGTCATCTGGGAGTGGTCAGCTGTCAGTGATGTCATCTGGGAGTGGTCAACTATGAGTGATGTCATCTGTCAGTGGTCAACTGTTAGTTATGTCATCTGAGAGCAGTCAGCTGTCAGTGATGTCATCTGGGAGTGGTCAGCTGTCAGTGATGTCATCTGGGAGTGGTCATCTGTCAGTGGTCAACTATGACTGATGTCATCTGGGAGTGGTCAGCTGTCAGTGATGTCATCTGGGAGTTGTCAACTGTCAGTGATGCCATCTGGGAGTGGTCAGCTGTCAGTAATGCCATCTGAGAGTGGTCAGTGATGTCATCTGGGAGTGGTCAGCTGTCAGTGATGTCATCTGGGAGTTGTCAACTGTCAGTGATGCCATCTGGGAGTGGTCAGCTGTCAGTAATGCCATCTGGGAGTGGTCAACTGTCAGTGATGTCATTGGGAGTGGTCAACTGTCAGTGATGTCATTGGGAGTGGTCAACTGTCAGTGATGTCATTGGGAGTGGTCAACTGTCAGTGATGTCATTGGGAGTGGTCAACTGTCAGTGATGTCATTGGGAGTGGTCAGCTGTCAGTGATGTCATTGGGAGTGGTCAACTGTCAGTGATGTCATTGGGAGTTGTCAACTGTCAGTGATGTCATTGGGAGTGGTCAGCTGTCAGTGATGTCATATGGAAGAGGATATGCAATTGCAGTGAAGACATTTTGGAGAGGTCAAATGTCAAATATGAATTCTTACATTTTGGGCATTGGCTTCAGTTGTCTACAATCAAAGAAGTGATCTGCTGGCAGTGTAAAATGTGCCCGTCCATTTATAAAACCATTGATTCACTGGCATGTAAATCAGGCTATACCAACATGAAGATCCTCCTAGCTTAAATCCATGAAATATTAAACCCAAACCCACAAGATAAACCATTTAGCAGACTCAGCAAAGCTGATTAAATTCTAGCGCAGTATCAAGGGTCTTCAGAATTTTAACACCTTCAGCAAATATGAGAGCTGGAGTTATTTCTAATCTCAGGCATGAAGCCACAAAGACCCACATCAAGAGGGTGACTTTTAATGGCAGGTGGACAACTCCTCTATGTGAACTGGTCAAGGTGTCAGGTTGAGTGTGAGCTTATGTCTGGAGAGAACAGGAAGCAGCTTAGTGTTACACAACACCACGCTACAGTTCATCTCCTTCCTATGCAGCAGATCCCATTCCATGTAGGGATTACTACAAGACATGCGGTAACTAATGAAAGAACATTCTCACAAAGAGAAGCTCCACAGATAAAACTACTGAGTTTTCTTGCAAATAGAAATGTGTATGAATGAGTTTGCTGTAATAGTGTGCACTTGTAGGACATTGGAGAGATCTTTCTTCTACATATTTTATAGGACAGTCGAACTATTTCTCATCTTACTATTCTCCTTGGAGACAATCATAGGACTTTAGGGACCTGTTCTCACTTATCATTCCAAATTCATGCTTAGGACTAGGGACCTGTTCTATCAAGACATTATCACAAGGATTCCTAGTACACTACGCTTCTCTCTTTTGTATTAAGATCTAACATTATCAGATTGTCACTTCACATAAAGGTTTGGTAAACTAAAATGCACAATTGCTACCGAACATTTACCAACTGACTGCAGCAGGAAGAGAGCTGGTCTGAAGTACATCACTGTTGTCAGCTAGAGATACAACATCTCCTAAACCTCATACAGCCCATCTTGGATCAGTTTCAACCCCAATTTGTTCCACTATCATAAACTCCCATAAACCAATATGTCAATTACCCATATCTACCTCACCCTCCTTTAGAAGAGCCACATATCACATGTTTATAAATGACATCCTTAAAACTGTCAAAAATTTATCAGTTGTTCCCTATATCTTCTAAAATTGTGGTTTCTTTTCTGTAGATCACTTACATGTATTTCTAACACCATCAACAAAATGAGGGAAGGTATATATAACGGAAGGCTTCTTTCACTGTAGTAGGGGTACAACATATTTAACCCATCACAAGGCTTCTTTCCCTATAGCAAGGGTACAACATATTTCACCCATCACAAGGCTCCTTTAACTGTAGTTAGAGTACAACATATTTGACCTATCATAAGGTTCCTTTAACTGTAGTTAGAGTACAACATACTCTACCCATCACAAGGTTCCTTTAACTGTATTTAGAGTATAACATATTTTACCCATCACAGGGTTCCTTTTAACCGTAGTTAGAGTACAACATATTTTACCCATCACAAGGCTTCTTTCACTATAGCAAGGGTACACCATATTTTCCCCATCACAAAGTTCCTTTAACTGTAGTTAGAGTACAACATATTTTCCCCATCACAAAGTTCCTTTAACTGTAGTTAGAGTACAACATATTTTCCCCATCACAAAGTTCCTTTAACTGTAGTTAGAATCAACATATTTTCCCCATCACAAAGTTCCTTTAACTGTTGTTTGAGTACAACATATTTCCCCCATCACAAAGTTCCTTTAACTGCAGTTAGAGTACAACATATTTTACCTATCACAAAGCTCTTTTAACTGTAGTTAGAATCAACATATTTTACCCATCACAAGGTTCCTTTAACTGTATTTAGAGTACAACATATATTACCTATCAAAAGGCTTCTTTCACTATAGCAAGGGTACAACATATTTCACCCATCACAAGGTTCCTTTAGCTATAGCAAGACATATATTATACATATAAGAAAGCTCCTTTTTATTATATCATAATTCTGAGTACTAACATAACTACCAACATTTGCATATATCTAGGTAGAAACCCTCTCATGTCACGTCTTGGGGTCATGATATCTCATCTCTAACAAATTGTGTTCTCCCTTATATGCAATGATGATAGAGCAGTGTTTGAAGAGGTTTACATTCCACAACAATCCACTGTGGTGCCGTTCTGGGGACTGACACTCCTGGTAGAAATTCTCCTACTCAAAGGAAGTCATTAAGGACACCAAGTAATTTTTCATTTTCACATGACGATAGTTAATCTGTCATACCATGAACAAATTTGTTCTTCTTTAACTTCCTTTGAAGCTCAGCTGTTGTTTATGTACAGTTTATGAACCCGCCATTTAACATTCTTGGAGACAGGGCTTTGTGATTTTATATAACAATAATAATCCCCACCCAAATAAATATACCTGTAGAAGTTTCTGTAGTGCTGAACATATTTTTGGTAGATTAATATTTTGTTCTTTCGTGTAAAACATAATTTCAAGACACAGTGCCACACAAACCTATCTTCTAATGCACAACACACCTGATGGTTCAGTTTCACTCACCACATGTATAAGTTACGTTTAAATATTTATTGACCCTTTCTTCACAAGGGTTTCCAAAGACGTACTCCTCCGCCTCCAGAACACACTGCTTGCGGCCATGACACTTGCTGCGAACTGCCTCCACAGTGTTCCGCGCCTGGCAGTCTGAAACATCAACACAGATTCATTATACATACAGGTGATTCATTTAAACAAGGGCAGCTTAATAGTAAAACAATCTTCTGTATAGCAGACTGAAATCATGTAAGAAAGATTGTACTGCCTGATCCTAGCCTGCCTTCAGGTCATACATGTACACAGTTCAAATGCTCTTCCAGGTGAGGGGCCGTGGGGTAGCCTAATGGTTAAAGCGCATTTCATATGCCCTGAATCCCCACATGGGTACAAGTGTGAAGCCCATTTCTGTGTCCCCCCGCCATGATGTTGCTGGAATAGTCAATAATTTAAAACCAAACTCAGTCAGTCAGTGATGCTTGTTTTGCCATGATAAGTCAGTGAAAACTAGTATTTGTTTGACATTATTTATTAGTGTGATCAAAATAACCTAAAAAATGTCTGCCTGCTCATATATTTAAAATATTGGATGAAAATCTGAAAGTTAATTTACATTGGCCTAATTTGTGGAACATTGAAATGAATATTTCATACATTTCAAATACAGATAGGAAAACATGACATGATTTGGCACACTTAAACCATGGATGGAATAAAACATGTGTTGGCTTGCTGTAAGGCAAGGACACATTCAACTGGGCTAATGTTCCAACATAACCCTGCCAAAATCTATGTCAATTTAGGTTGAGAAATATTTACAATTTCCTTTCTCCCTCACAGAATTTTTCATCCATTTTGAAGAAATACCTTTAGTCTCATGTTTTAAATAATTCAACAGAAAAAGATAATTTTTTTCTTACGACCACAACGTTTTTGTGACCTCCCTTGACTGAGAGATCAGCCCACACATATATAATTAATAACAGGTTTTTACAGTCACCAAGATCTGACAGCATCATGAAGACTGATGGGCACATGTTGGAGTATTGCTTAAGAACATGTGTTGTGACTCAACGACCAACTCCCCTCCCACCCCCACCCCGTAGTTTCCCATCATTCACCATTACATCCAGATTGTTAGCCTCTGATGCCAGTGAGGACATCGTGGAATAGGTTATTACAAATACAACATGGATATTTTTTCATCTATTATTCATATGATTGCTTCCTTTAATCAGAGCAAGTGGTATTTTGGTGACAGTTGACATTTGATTTGGCAATGGTGTTAAATGTCATTCCAGTGTGTTCTTGCAGTACTGGTAATGTGTTGAGTTACTGGTCCGACAACAGTAGATTTGTGTGCTTACTGTACTGTGTAGTTCGGTGAGATCATCACCGACACTGTGGAATCAGATGGGTGGGTGGTGAGTTGAAGAGGGGGTAGGTAAGTGTGGGGATGAGGGCGACGGTGAGTTCAGGGGCGTAGATACGCTTGAGGGAGTGTCAAGGAGGAGGTGGGTAAGTGTAGGGGTCAGTATGAGGGTGGGTTCAGGGGCGTAGATACGTTTGAGGGTGTGTAAAGGAGGAGGTGGGTAAGTGTAGGGTGAGTATGAGGGTGGGTTCAGGGGTGTAGATACGTTTGAGGGTGTGTCAAGGAGGAGGTGGGTAAGTGTGGGGGTGAGTATGAGGGTGGGTTCTGGGGTGTAGATACATTTGAGGGTGTGTAAAGAAGGAGGTAGGCAAGTGTGAGGGTGAGTGTAGGGGTGTTGAGGAATGGGTGGGTAAGCGTGAGGGTGGGTGGGTAAGCGTGAGTAACATTTTCTATGTTACCAGCTGGAAATGCCGAACTGTGGGAATTCGTTTGGTACTTCATGTTAGTAGTGTTTGGGCTGTTGCCTAACTCTGGTACTCATTATGATTCAATACGTGTGCTTCAAACAACCGTCGGGGCCCATGTTCAACATAAACAAACATAGAGGGTACATCAACCCATGTCCCCCTTGTGACCAGTGAACAACTTATATTGTCTTGGGTTTTTTTCTGGTAATTTTGTTTATCTTATGACAAAATCCCATGACCCGAGAACATCAAATGGTCAGTTCCTACGACAAGCCTTTGGTCCTATTCCTCCAATGCTGTTATTTGTTATTATGTTATCAGACTAAGTAGGCTTGTGTACGGAGGAGTTAAATAAGCGTACCTATGTGTTTTGGGCCACTGTATTCACAGACATTGGTTCCGGTAGCTGTACGACCGAACATGGCGGAGTAGATTGCCACCCCGTAGTACCATCTGTTCCCCTGACACGCCACATGGCTCTCGGAGTAGATATATCCATCTGAAACAGCAAGACAACAGTTAACCACATACCACCTGGCTCTCGGATCCATCTGGAACAGCACCATAGCACCATCTGTTCCCCCTGACACGCCACCTGGCTCTCGTATCCATCTGGAACAGCAAGACAACAGTTAACCACATACCAACCTCTATCACCTCTATGTTCTCTAAGCATGAAGTAATGAACTCATGACAGATGATTCATCAAATGAAGATACATACTGGCTAACCTCTCATGGAGAAATGAAACAAATATTTGTTAAAAATTCCCCATCGAGTCTACAATACTGTTTAAATATCTCCAGTTTTAGGCAAGATTCTTCTAACTCCTTGTCCAACCATATATTAGTGAGTGAGTGAGTATGATTTTATGCCGCTTTTAGCAATATTCCAGCAATATCACAGCAGGGGACACCAGAAATAGGCTTCACACATTGTGCCCATGTGGGGATTCGAACCCGGGTCTTCGGCAGGATGAGTGGACGCTTTAACCACTAGGCTACCCCATCGCCCCCAACCATATATTAAAGGGTGGCCTTACCAATGAGGTCCTTTTAATGTACACAGTACACGTGGCATTAACTAAAGTCATGTGACCCTGGTGCCTGTGAGCATGCTGTTTGACCCCCCACCCCCATATTATTGTTTGACCCCCCCAAACACCACCCCCATATTATTGGAACAGTTATGTGTCTATTTGTTCTTACCCCGTGAAGATACGGATTAGAACTGATCTTCACTAACCCATGCCTGTCATTAGAGGCGACTAAGGGGATCAGGATGTCAGGCTTGCTGACTTAGTTGATGAAGATCGATGCTCATGCTGCAGATCACTGGATTGTCTGGTCCAGATTCGATTATTTACAGACCCCACCATACAGCTGGAATATTGCTGAGTGAAGCTGAACTCACTCATTATTTTTACTTGCTTTATTGCATGGCTGGGCAGGGACAATCCGGAGACACTAGCCTAACTCATTATTTTTCTTGCCCATTTTATTGCCCATGGTTGAGGAAATCTAGGACAATCTTGGCATTGGAAAATAATGTGGTTCAGGGTCTGTGAGACAGACTACTTGACACACTGCAGTCAGTATTATAAGTACAAAGGTAACTTTCCTTTACTATATTCTAGGTTTTCAGTTGTACTTTGCTAAATAGAAATAGACTCAACATCATTGTGTGTGTTGTTCTTGAAGGCAATTTAACCTGAAAGATATCTGATACATATTTTCATTTCAGAGACTTAATGTATTAACATAGCAAGGAGCAAATTTCCAATGCCTCATTAACTTCTCAGCCCACACTGAGATGAAGTTATGTAATGATTCAACAGTACACAGAACACAGTCAAGGAGAACATCACAACACTCTGGAGAAATCATGACAATCTGTTGAGCATACTTATAGAATCAGTTGAATTGAGAAGGTTCTGTAACTGGGATAGGAGTTGGTTGTGAAGTTTGGTTGATGTGGTTGGGAAATTGACAGACTATAGGAGGAATTACCTAATCATCTTATTATAAAGTGATGCCAAACACGATGTTTACCCTATGTTGCCTTCTACTCTTTAAATCATTGAGACCAGGAAGTGAGACTGTTCACAGTAGAAGAGCTATTTCCTGAATATGACACAAGCAAAGTGTAATATTTCAACAGTTACACAAACAGATTGTTGTCTCTCGAAACAAGCCTACGCTATCATTCTAACAAGTAAAAAACATGCAGGAAGTGCTTTGTTCCACATCTAATTGTTTACTAAGCCATGTTGAAAGTGGTTCCTGGATGGGAAATGAGGCAGGCTATATACACATAGAACATCTTCTTTCATGTAAATACATGTGCATGTATATTATTCAGAAACATGTAACATAAACCATGAAGTTGCACTGTTTAGCAAGCTGGTTCCAGCATAAATAAAAATACATCTCTCCTTGAAGTTTTTCCAAGCATGCCGCCTTCATACACCAGTTTATTTTCCTCCGAAGATTACAAAATCTAGTCTCTGCTCAAATTTCCATCTGATTATTTATATAGTAACTATGGCAACATGTCAAGGCCTCAGCAAAACATGGGAACATCTCACTGACAATGAAGGACACAGATGAAACTGAAGATGAGATGTCTGCCGTGAAGTAACAGACATATTGGACTGCCCTGTGACATACAAGACATACAAATCTGCATACAGATATCTGAACAGCTGTGATAATATATATCTGTCATCACACTGTATATCTGTGATGATATACTCAGCATCTTCATTAAAGGGTCATCTAGACATGTAGGGCGTCACACATGAACATATGCTAGTCTCACAGTCCCTGAACCACATTATTTTATTATTATTATTATTATTGAATATTTATATAGCGCACATATCCACGCACTATTGCATGCTCAAGGCGCTGGTATTTTCTCTACTGACTACCCTTCCCTGTCTGTCTCACAGACCCTGAACCACACTATTTCCCCTACTGCCAAGCCCTCTCTGCAATGCTAAAGCCCTAAATGAAGCAAGTCTAGAATTCCCCAGGTTCAGGAATATCCCTGGGGCTCCTTTTCAATTTAAACAGGTTTGTTTGTTATTATCAACATTATATATATTCAGAGACTAAGTGTTAGCCTAGAACATCTGCCAAAAAGCATCAATGGGTTTAAGTATGTGACAGTTGTTTATGCCAATGACCCACTGCTATGTTGCTTTTAACAAACTTAAAAGATGTACAGTTACTTTTGAAAAAAGAAGAAGCAGGATTGAAAGTGATGGAAGACGCTACCCAGAGCCCACATCTGAACACAACCAGTGGTACAGTCCATGTATATGCAATACCTAACCAATAACAGGCAATGGGGGTGCACAATGGGTCATTCCAAAATCTACTGAACTCTTGGAAGTTGACAATTCAACCTTTTTAAATACTTTTATTGCTAATTATCTGTGTGAGCTATCAATATTGATACAAGTAAGTATACAACTATCTACTGGCATTATCTTTTTAATGAGTGAGTGAGTGAGTGAGTGAGTATGTTTTTATGCCACTTTCAGCAATATTCCAGCAATATCATGGCGGGGGACACCAGAAATGGGCTTGACACATTGTACCCATGTGGGGAATCAAACCTGTGTCTTTGGCATGACAAGCAAATGTTTTAACCACTAGGCTACTGCTGGTCCTGTCTGTGATGATATATCCGTATCATCACCCTGTATATATGATACACTCATCACCACAGAGTGATATATCAACAGTGTATGAACTATAGAGCAACAGAGTATTCTATAACTGTTAATGGAGGGATGTATGTGCATTATGTCAGATATCGACTGACGAATTACTCCCCACAGAAGGCTCCTGAGGTTCAGCTGGTGTTGCAGCATTCATTGTCAAACCTGTTTCATACATGGGAGGGTGCTGAAAACTCACTGAGCAAATAATGATTGGTTACTTTCACATAAACAAAATTTAATTTTGGTAGTCGATTTTGTCAAATAATACACTGCCGCCTTAGATTGGGATGCAGTGACTTAAACAGTGATAAGTATAATCGTTTCATTTCTGATAAAGCTTCTTGTTCCTGCTCACAAGATTATGAGGATGTATTCCACTATTTTTTCATGTGTCCTAAATATAATACCATTCGATACGAATCATATTTCTATGTGAAAGGTTTCTCCCTGCGGGATGTGCTAGATGGCAATAACTCAGTATCTCATCAGACGAAAATGGATATTCTACGGTCAGTCCATCAATTCATTATTACATCAAAACGTTTTGATTCATAAAGTTTTGTAGCTTCTCTTATTTTTTATTTGTATCAACTGGCCACGAAACAAAACCAAGATAAATTGTTGATATCCATGATTGTTATTATTCAGAGATAACTTGATATAACCACTTTAAAAATGTACAACATTATGCACAAATGTGAACCTTCACATGTATTATGGAGCGGCATTAATAGAAGCCATTTAGGCTGGTTTTGCCAATCCTTTTCTTTCTTCTTGAATAGGATAAAATATGTTTAAACCACATAAACAAGTTGCTTACAGGGGTCATATCAACAGTAGTGTGCAGTGGGAATAATAGAGTGAGTGAGGGAGTGAGTTTTGTTTTACGCTGCTTTTAGCAATATTCCAACAATATCAGGGCAGGGAACACCAGAAATGGGCTTCACACATTGTAACTGATGATATGGGGAATTGAACCCAGGTCTTCGGTGTGACAAGTGAACACTTTAACCACTAGGCTACCCACTGCCCTAATAGATATATCAAACATCTCTGGTTTCCTTATGCAACCATCATGCTGATCAATGGGTTTCAAATACTGCGCATGTGTTGCTCAGTGGGTTTCTTAACTGATGTTCTAATTAGTGGATATATTTTAGGATGATTTCATGGTGTTCACTTCACTTACATGCCAACTTTGTCCTGTTTTCTATTCTATCTTCAGAGCAAACATAGTAGCCTATAGTTCAAGAATATTGATGCATTATGTAGCAATTATCGGCACCATGTTACCAACTCACATGTCAGTAATGGTGTAGAAGTAGTCTTGCTCCAGGGCTCAACGGAATGATAAATCCATGGTGTGAGTGAGTGAGTATGGTTTCAGATATATTCCAGCAATATCATGGAAGGGGACACCAGAAATACACTTCACATATTGTACCCATGTTGGTAGACTAATGCTTAGTCTCTGAATATATATAATTTTGATAGTAACAAACAAGCCTATTTAAATTGAAAAGGAGCCCTAGAAGGACCAGAGCTGAACCTGAGGAAATCTAGGCTTGCTATATTTAGGGCTTTAGCACTGCAGAGAGGGCTTGGCAGTAGGGAAAATAATGTTGTTCAGGGACTGTGAGACAGACTACCATGCTTGGAATCCAACCCAGGTCATTGGCCTAGGGAACAAAAGCTTTAACCACTAGGCTATCCCACCGCCTCTGGGTGTGTAATTCTTTCCTAGTCTAGATAAGCTGACAGAACAGCAGCCTTTTATAAGGACATATTTATCTATACATGTTAACAATATACAGAAAGCTATTGCTTTAACAAATTCAAAGGAAGCACTAATTTTAGTTTGTTATAACCATACTTTGTTATACATATTTTTGATTAAAATATACAAAAGGGGGGCAGAAATGAGAAAACAGTTCATCATATCTGTCAGTTTCTTATAAGCATGTTTGTAATCAACACACTTTACTGTATGTATTTATATAATCTAGTTTTAAACAAATAATTATCGCCTGAGAGACTTGTGCAAGTCTAGTATAGCATGGGCGAGGCCCCTCAGTGTAATAACCAGGCTGGACAAATCGTTCCAGTGTTGAGCTAGTGCAGTGTGAATGATTATTAGAACAAAGCCTGCAGCCTTGCACGCGGAAAACTGGCACCGTGTGTCAATATACCGATCATAACATCAATATCTCCACACAACTGGAGAGCATCTTTCACGAATAACTGTGTCTCCAGCACAACTGAAGGCATTCAATATTCTCAGTTTTTTTTGCAATAAATTGTTTACGGAGAAAAAATCTTTGGGCCATAGTGGATAGAAAATTTATAAACTATAACTGGATTGAGATTATATAATGTTATGTGTACTGAAACAACCTGAGAAGATATCAGTATTTAATAGAATTTAGTTTATCTTCAAAAGGAGACAGGGAGCTCCCGTTTTGTGCTCGATAGCCAAACATCATTTCAGCTGTTAAACTGATATAATCTGAGAAACTATTGACACTTAACATACCAGTTTTTATCCATGACAATGTATAGCAGATTGTTTATGTCGAAAGTACTGAAAAAAGATTATGCACCAGTTTGACATAGAAATTTCGATAATTTCTTTTGTAACTGACATCTATATTCATGTATCCCTGCTACAAGAAAATAGCTATGTATCCATGAAACTGTCAAACAGACAGAGTAGCTAGTGAGTGAGTGAGTGAGTGAGTGAGTGAGTGAGTGAGTGAGAGTGAGTGAGTGAGTGAGTGAGTGAGTGAGTGAGTGAGTGAGTGAGTTTAGTTTAATGCCTCTTTTAGCAATATTCCAGCAATAAAATGGCGGGGACACCAGAAATGGGCTTCACACGTTGTACCCATGTGGGAAGCAAACAGGTCTTCAGCATGAGGAGCGAATGCCTTAACCACTAGGCCACCCCGCCGCCTGTAGACAGCAGAAATTGCATACATTGTGGTTTTCTATTCTACAGACACATAAAAGACCATACAAAACAACATTAACATTCACACACCATTCACACATAATGGAAACGGATAAAAGATGAGTAGGAAAAAGCAACTGAAACTTCATAGAAGTTTTAACGCATTCGCAAACAAACAATGGTACATCGCCCATTGAGAGATCTCAATTGATGATTGATAATACAGAGATTGTTCCAGTGGCAATGTGTCAGTTTATTGTTACACCGTTACTCAGCAGGAAACACAGCTCTGTATTGCTCAATTCACCATGTCTCACTATCACCATGACTAACCAATCCTTAGGATTTATGGAATTTCCATTTACTAAACACCAGGATATTCTGGGCAAAATTCCTCCATATCATCCTAGAAATGTCTATAAACTTTGAAATAAAAATTATAAAAATATTCACACAAACAAATTTCGATTTTGCAATTTCAATATTGCAAGGCTTTCTCAAACAAAATCCATATTATCTTGAAATGATGGAAACTTCTTTCCATCATTGTCATGGCAACCAAAATGTCACCGACAAACTTGTGAAGTAAATATAGCAATTAACTCCAATTAATTGACTTATGAGTCTACTGAGATTTCTGGTGTTTCCAAACATGCCCCTCTCACTGTGAGGCAGACTGCATGAATGCAGCGATCAAAGCAGTAATGGCTTTAACATATTGCCTGCACAGCCAGTACTGTTGTAATATACCAATTACCAAGCTATATTGTAAGCCCTAATCATACCATCCCAATACTCGCCTTGGACAATTTCCTACATAACGACTTATTCACCAATCTTCTCTCATTAATGAGTCATTTCTATGCAAATTGGAAATCTCCATGGGATTGTGGAAAGTATGTATTCCCGATATTATTCATGTTAATTTTTTTGTTCATTCTGAGTCAGTAGACTTGTATTTAATCGACAGGGAAATTTAAGTTATTGGGTCCAAAACACCATGCCGCCATCTACCATGGATTCCTCACTCACACACTGTCAGTATGCCAGCTTCGAAGCATAGAGTCCTTAATTTTTTATGTCCTTTAATGCCGTGCACCAGCCGGGATAACAAAAAATACCAAATTTCAACATCTTTTATTGTATCATGTGACCAGGAAAATCTAATAACAAACCTTCCAACAAATGCTTTATTAATCCAAACATAATAAATAGTAATATTCAAAACTATCTCTATGTTTCACACTGTTATATTTGATAACTGAACAATCCTGCTTGCTTTGAGCCGAATGATGATAAGACAATGACCCAAAATAAAAGACAACCAATTTATTCTATCCCCCAACTTCCCCTCTACATGGATCTCCACAGTAGCCAGGGAAGATGTGACATGCATAAACATCTGGTTACCATGGTAACAGGAATTTGGAGTAGAAAACAGACCATTCAATATTCTGGGAAGATCTACAATTTAGTGCACATTTTTCTTTCCTGTGGTAAACCTATAACAAATTTATTTTCCTTTAAAAAATCCCAGAAACCTCAAAAACATTCCTCCCATTGAACCTCACACACACAATAGTTTATTAACATTTAGTTCCACAAATAAAACTATCTTATTAAAAATTATACATCAACTTAAAAAATAACATCAAAAAGGAGATAAGAACAATGTTGACTGTCAGGGCTGATGCATTCTAGACTTGATGAAACCTCTAGACTTGAATTGGAAATTTGTTTCTATTTATTCATGAGTTGTCAGACAAACAGAACCCATACACACTGACAAATGATTGGCTGTATATATTTCAAGACCAGCCCATTCATCACATGTAGTACTCTCAGACTGACATGTGAGTGAGAAGCTGACGGACATGTGAGTGAGAAGCTGACGGACATGTGAGTGAGAAGCTGACGGACAGGTGAGTGAGAAGCTGACGGACATGTGAGTGAGAAGCTGACGGACAGGTGAGTGAGAAGTTGACGGACAGGTGAGTGAGAAGTTGACGGACATGTGAGTGAGAAGCTGACGGACAGGTGAGTGAGAAGCTGACGGACATGTGAGTGAGAAGCTTGACGGACAGGTGAGTGAGAAGTTGACGGACATGTGAGTGAGAAGCTGACGGACAGGTGAGTGAGAAGCTGACGGACAGGTGAGTGAGAAGCTGACGGACAGGTGAGTGAGAAGCTGACGGACAGGTGAGTGAGAAGCTGACGGACAGGTGAGTGAGAAGCTGACGTGAGTGATAACAAGGCTGGGTATATCAACATCCAGTACTATCTATCTACTAGGGAGATGATGGGTAATAAATACAGGATATTATACGAGTGCCCATGTCATACTATGTTTACGACACGAGTGCCTAAATGTTGGTTTTTCCCGAGTGAGAGCGAGGGATATACCGATATTTAGGCACTCGTGTCGTATGGGCATGGATATAATATTCTATTTATTACTGAAGTCGTCAAATTGAGGAAAATAACTCAAATCTACTTTCAAACATAGGCTGGCTACCCGCCGTTGCTGCATGTAGAATGCAACGTCACAGAAGAAACGTGATGTCATAGCATTGTTCATGACTCATATCACCATGACAAAGTGATATTTTGCCCTAGGGCATCATATGAAACATATGATCCCCGATATTTTCGCTCTCGTAGGTAATAGCATGTATACATAACACTACAACATGTGTGTTATACTGGATGCACTTGTCCCATGAATAACACACACGTGAAGATCTGGGTTAGAATTGGCCGGTCTTTAGCAACCCATACTTGTTGTAAGAGGTGACTAACAGGATCGGGTGGTCAGACTCGCTGACTTGGTTGGCACTTGTCATCATATCCCAATTGCGTAGATCGATGCTCATGTTGTTGATCACTGGATTGTCTGGTCCAGACTCTATTATTTACAGACTGATGCCACATAGCTGGAATATTGCTGAGTGCAGCGTTAAACAACAAACCAACCAACCAATCATGAATAACAACTAATGTTTCGATTAAAGGCATTTACAAGTGATACAAAAGACGAAAGTTTCATGAATATCAACTTATATAATATGAGTAACACAATGACTGGGAGTATATTTTACTCCTTCTAGGCAACAAGTATGGTTAGTCTTCAAAACATTGTGTTCCTCCTATCATCTCTAAAATTTCCCCCTTATCATTCAGATTGAGTTCGTCTTTCAGCATGACTGGAATATATTCACTGAATTTATTCAAAATGTATTTGTGTCTGACTGTTTTGATAGTGAAATAGTTGGTCAGTAGGTTGCAAAAATGAACTATTTTTTTTTACATAAACAGGCATTATAACAAAAACAATGTTAGAAGTGAGAAATATACTAATCAGAAGATTTCATAGACTATATGTTGATTTAAAGCATGATACTCTGAGTATATATTTCTGGCACTTCTTGACGCTTTCATTCATCTCTGCCATGTTGGTTCCTGCAAATTGACCAAAGTGGCAAGAGGGTCATAGGTCAATGTTCATCTGTTAGAATTACGACTGTTATACAGCTTTGATCCCTCTGTGATACAGGGCCAAGTTCCCCTGCCATGCAGCATCTGATTGTAATGACAGAGCTCTGTCTGTATATGGTGAAGTGCATCCTTGAATGCTGATAACTGCTGACACAATGCGGAACTACTTGAGCGTTGGAATTCGGAAAGGTAGCTTTGATCTGGCTGTGAATGGCGCAAGACCACCAGGAATTCTTGTTACAAGAGCATAACTGTTGGAAAAAGCACCTTGTGTATAGGCAAAAATGACTAGCAACAGCATATGCTGATACGTAACTTTATGACATGAGGCAATGGAGGTGAATAGAAACTGGTGGATATAATACTGTTTGGAGGATGTACTGGTGTATAACACCTTCTTCATGGTTAGGATGTGATTTCTAGGGAATAACACATCCTGTTGAGGAGGATGGTATACTGATATATAAAACCTCTTCCGTATCTAGATACTGATCACACTCTATGTCAGGATAACACTGTTCGAGGCAGGAGAAGATGCCAGGATTCCATCCCCAGTTGTCTCCCTTTTCAATTGTGATTGCAACGCTCATGAGGCTAAGTGTCTCTCAGACCCTAGGACGTATATTTCATTGAATGCAAGTCCTGAACATGCACTATATCTTGCTATTAACACCAGGGGTTGGTGTATTAGTACATTCTGCACACAGCCTGCCTAACACTGACATTCGTAACATAATCCTATTAGATACAACCATTAAACTATTGACACAAGTGAAACCTAGTTATTGGCAGCCTAGTGGATAGAGTGTTTGCTGGAGATGAATGTAGTGGTTTGATACCTGGTGACATCATATGTAAAGACATTTGACAAATGAAACTTGTTGTTGCCCTGCCTGGTGCAAGGCATTATGGGAATAAAACATTGACTGGTCAGCTCGGAGTCAGTATAATACTGTGTCTGAGTGT